TTCTCTTTGTCATTCTTTATTCCACCTCCATCCACCCGATGCCTTGTCGCATTCGCCTACGATGATTCATAATTTACCTGGCATGCCAATTAGGCTAACTTTTTCTCTACGTTCTTGCCAACGCTTCTCGAAGTTCAGCACCTTTAGGATCACACATTCATCAGCTTCGGCGTCTCTCGTTCAATCACCCCAGTTTCTCCCGACCGACGAAGGATCGTGACAGGAAATCAAAGAATATTCTCTCAGGAAATAAATTGAACTCTGGCCACTTCCAGATAGACGGAATCTGGCTCCGTCCTCGGCCTTACCGCTCTTCGCGGCAGGATGGCCGGTCCGTCAAACCCATTCGATGCGATCAAACGCGGAGATGCGGCCGCGGCCTCGAGAGGACGTGGGAACGGGCGCGGACGCGGTGGATCTCCGCCCCCGCAAGCATCTCACAAAGATGCAAATGGAAGCGCGTCCCGTGGCGATGCCAGGTTTCGTGGTCGAGCGCGAGGGGACAGGGGTGCTCGTGGCAATGGCAGAGGAGGCCCTGGAGGAACTGCCCGACCCGTTAGAACGGAGCCCCAACAAAGCAAGACACACAATCCCGTCGGGGACAAGTCGAAAATTCACAAGAAAACATCCCACCCCGGTGAAGGGAGAGGGAAGTCCGGCACGCCCGAGGGTAACATGGTCGACTCGAGCAGGGATCCTCGCAAGCGACATCAATCTAAGCAAGCGAAGGAGAAAGGTGCAACCGATGTAACCATGCGGGATCCAGGGAGCTACACCGACCGTTACGAACAGGTCGGTCTTTCCTTAATCGTACCACTGCGCCGAGTTGAGTGAGTGTACTGACTCAAACCACACAGCTTAAAGCCGATCGGGCCCAAGAAAGGAAAAAAGCGATTGAAGGTGGGCAGATGGCAGATCCTGACCAACCAACTTCTTTGACACAAGCGATCACACCCGTTGGAACATGCACGAGCATGTGTCCGGAGTTCGAACGAGTTGAACGTATCGTTCAAAAGATGGTTGACAAAAGCGAGAAGGTAGTCCCCTTCGCCGAGATGAACGGGAATGATCTCACATATGCTAATACTACTGGAATAGTTTCAAAACCCGAAAACCAACGAATTGCAGTATATGGAAACAATGATGCTCAAACGTTTTAGAAGATCCGCTGCAGGATACGACGAGCAGCTTCCGTCCGACATCCGGACCCCACATACACTGCTACAGAGCATGAACTACCTGACACGGCATGTTGTTGGTGGCTCGGAACCCCTTGGGTTGATCCATAAGTTCGTTTGGGACCGAACTCGATCCATCCGAAACGACTTCTCCGTACAGCAACTCACGCAAGCAACTGATGTCAAGATCGCGGTTACTTGTCTCGAAAGGATTGCTCGTTTCCACATCCTATCACTTCATCTGCTTTCCAGTCCCGCCAATGAAGAACCTTTCGACCATCATCAAGAACGTGAGCAGCTCAACAACACCATGTTGTCTCTAATGTACTACTATGACGATAACAGAGGGCGGATATTCTTCCCGAACGAGGATGAGTTCCGAGCCTACTATATCATCTTCTCTATCCTTGACCAGCGACCCGACTTGGAGGCCCGTGTTCAGAGATGGCCAATGGAGCTTCGGCAGTCGTCTCGAGTTCAAGTCGCATTGGAGCTTCATGCAGCTGCCAGCAATACATGGGAGCCCCAGGGGACCTTGGATGCCAAAAGGCCCAATGCGATTGCCCAGGGCTTCTATACCCGGTTTTTCAACCTTATCAGCTCCCCTGCGGTATCTTATCTGATGGGCTGCGTCGCCGAAATTTACTTCAATCATGTTCGCCAAACCGCCATCCAGTCAATATGGAGAGGATATTGTCGCTCGCCCGCTTCTCAGCGGCATAAGAACGAGGAATGGACTGTAAGCGAGCTGACAGACGTTCTGTGCTTTGATGAAGAAGAACAGACGGTGGAATTCTGCCAAGAGCAGAGTTTGGAATTTGCGGAAAATGAGAATGGCGAGCTGTATCTCAACTGGGGAAGTCCTGATGGTTCAGACGGTATGTGCAGATCTCGGCAAAAGTCTCGCCTGGCTTCTTTGATCAAGTGGCCCATCGGTGGCTGTCTCTAACAACACAAGGCGAAGACATGTCGGCCTACATGTTTCTTTCATTATGTCTCGACTACTTCGACTAACTGTATAACTCACTAGCCTTCCAACCATCTTCAAGCCATTCCTTTTCTGAAACTTACGTCGAGTCGAAACGGAGAGGTCGAACACTAGTCGCAATCATTCTTGGGCTCAACATCAAGGAGGCCGCGATTTTGAACATGATCGATACGTCGTTGTTAGACACACGGGCGCAAACATTGGAATATGGCGACTATCGCAATGAAGAGTCCTTATTTGTGAGCGACGATGATAACGACTCGATTTATCCACACGAAGCTGCCCTTAAATCAGGCGCTCGCCTCGACTCGCCGACGTCTGCCTCTAGCCTTCAGAACAATCGCGAGGCACTTTTGGAGCCATCTGCCGGTGGCGGAACAAGCTTGTTTAGCAACAAAGCGAACAGCTCGTATCCAGTATCACCGTTTTCTGCTCCGTTCACGCAAGTGGACTCTCCTCCGGCATTCAACTCCCCAGAATTTGCTATCTTTCCGCCGCCCGGCTCCGATGTCCGTGCAGAATCATCGCCAGTCTCTGGAGGACATGCAGGCGTCCAATCCTCAAGCGACCCTTCTGCTTTTCGTCCGTTAGACAACGCAGGCAAGACATCTGTACCATTTCCGGCAGCGCCTCTTTTTGAAAGCAAACCTCTGGAACAGGCCAATACGATTGAACCCGATCTGCCATCCCACAATCCCACTGTCTCTGATGCGGAATCAAACAGTAGCTCTGGATTGACTGCAGGCCAGTCTTCCAGTCTTTCAAATGGAATCAAATCATCGTCAGTCTCCTGGGGACCCAATACCACTTTCACAGTTCCCAGCCAGACCAGCGACACTAGTGATACCAGGAACAGCCAGCCGCTTCAAAACACGCCTCCGAAACCCTCACAAGTCAATTTCTTCAAGCCGCCGGCAATCCCAGAGGGAACCAAACCCACATTCACTTTTCCCAGCCAGACGAGCGACTCTGGTAATGGCAGGGACGGCCAGCAGCCTCAAATTGTGTCTCCGAGACCTTCACAAGTCAACATCTTTGAGCCATCGGTCACCTCTGGGGCTGCTAAACCTACTTCCACTTTCCCCAGCCAGACCAGTATCTCTGGCGATACCAGCGCTGCCCAACATTCTCAAGATGCGGTGTCAAAACATTCACAGATCAGTTTCTCTCAGTCACCGACACCATCCGGGGGAGTCAAGCCTACTTTCGCTTTTCCTAGCCAGACGAGCAACGCTAGTAATACTAGCGACGCCCAGCAGCCTCAAACTGCGGCATCCAAACCTCTACAAATCAATTTCTCCGAGCCTCCTCCAACCTCTTCAAACCCGTTTGCTCCGAAAAACGCTGATGGTGTGTTTCTCGAACAAGAATATCCCCAAATGACTAGCTAAAGACATTGCAGAAACCCCGAAGTTTTCATTCGCTCCGCCAACGACCAAGCCGCCCAATACCGCCCTTTCAAATCACGCTGCTCTCCCTCAATCCAATAGTGGGCCAGCAATTAACGCAGGGGTTAAAGTGTCGTCCGCCGCTCAGCAGCAGGCCTCTCATAGTGCCGATGAAACACTTCAAACACAAGAACCCCTTCAACCGCGACAATCTACAATAACGGAGAGCTCCTTCGCATCTGCAACATCACAGACATCTACGATTGGAGAGCTACCGAATGGACACCAATATTGCCCACCGGCACCAGCCGCCAGCCATGATTCTAGTGGTATGCCTGCCTGATTATTCTCCCAACATTGCCACCAGAAACGATTTCACTAACGCACACTTATGCTTTCTAGCAACCGAAGCAGATGGCCAAGCGCCTGTATGGTTATCATCGCTCAGAGAAGCAGCCGAGAAACGGCGAACGTCATCTACCGGTCGTAAGAGAGTCTACAATGCCGAAGAGGAGACAATGGACACTGGGACAAAACCACCCAAAGCGTCAAAGCCTGAGCTGCCGCCTCCACCTAAGAAGTCGCTGGCCCAGGCATCTGTCAAGCCTCTGCCGACGCTTCCCATTCTGGAACATATCGAGAAACTGGTTGCCCGACGACCTTCCGCAAAACTTCAACTTGAGCCCCCGAGGCGCAATCAAATTGATGAAGATGAAATGCTATTGTCTGCCGCGCGCATTGCTGCCGAGTCTCTTCGCGGTGGACCTCGCCTTTCAGATAGCTTTTCCACGTACTCTGAACCACAACGGTCTTTCAGTCCACAGAGCAGCATAAACTCCCCGTTTTCACTTTCACGGAGTCACTCTCCCCAGTCTTCATTCCAAGTCAATGGATATGATGTTGCCTTAGCTCCTGAAACGGAGCTTGGGCTGGGACGTTCAATGTCTCGCACCGAGCAAAGAATTCGGGCCACTGGGGGCAGGGGCTTGGCTTACAAACCACTGGATTTCACCCCCAAGAAGCAGCGAAAGACCGAGTAGAAACCTGTGTCCAAGGACAGCCATGGTCGATGGCTTGGTCAGAAAGCAGCCAGATTCGCAGTTGACGGCATGTACATTGCATTGCATTACGGCGTTTTGAGAGGATCTTGTGTTTGTTTGTTTAGCCAAGTTTTGTCCTTTTACTTGGTCAATTAGATGTCATTATATCCTGGGGACATTATCATGCATGGCGCTGGCACACTTTGCTTTTTGTCTATACTTTGGATGTTAGCTAAATATCATGAGACTTACATCATCCCTGAAATGACTGCCTGTTCAGTATTCACCCTGTTCATACTATTACGTAGTGCCTGGAAGCCTGAGGCAAGTAACTAGTTAGAGCTAACGTGCCGTTACCTAAGCCGCATGTCCGTCACCTGATCTGGTGCACTTCCAGCCAATTATAATGCTCGGCGTCATATCCATGAAACCAACTTCTATCATCCCCACGCCGACCTCCCTAGACATTCTCACGCGCACACCCCCTGTGAACACACTCACCCTCCTTCAGACAGCCACAATTTATTTCCAACAGCACTCCAGGTTCCTTTTCATTGGACTTGCCCCAGCGCGTTTCCTCCCGACTGTAATCCGGCCAGTTCCTATTCGCCGCGGTACTTATACATTCAATAGGCAACGCCGGGAAATGAAAATAGCCACTTTACAATTCGCCCCGAAGCTGGGCGACGTCGAGGGTAACATCCGACGGGCCAACGAACTACTCCAGCATGGCAAACTGCTCGAATCAAGGGGTACCGCGGCGGGGATGGACGCCCTGAGGCCGGAGATCCTGGTATTGCCCGAGTTAGCACTGACGGGTGAGTTCAATAGTTTCGTTTTTGCTTCTTCTTCTTCTTCTTTTTCTTCTTCCGGTGTCCTCTTGACTGAACATCAGCCAGGGTATAACTTCCCTTCATTGGAGGCTATCAAGCCGTATTTGGAGCCCACGGGAAAGGGCCCGTCTGCCAACTGGGCACGAGACGTCGCGAAACGCTATCAGTGTAAGGTGTGCGTGGGGTATCCGGAACTCGAAACGGCGTCGACAAGCTCAGATGGTGCGAGCGACGAGCAGGAGAAGTGCTATAATTCTCTGCTGGTGGTCGACGAGAGCGGAGAAATACTTGCGAACTACCGTAAGACGTTCCTGTATTATACGGACGAGACGTGGGCGGAAGAAGGCGATGCGGCGCGCAGCTTTCAGGAGTTGAGCTTCGCGGACCCCGACCACGGTGCTACGGCCTCTTCCAAGGTGGCGACGTCGTTTGGCATCTGCATGGACATCAATCCCTACCAATTCAAGGCACCGTTCACGGCTTGGGAATTTGCGAATCGGGTGCTCGACTCGAAGACTCAGCTGGTCGTGCTGTCGATGGCGTGGCTTACCCTGCTAAGCCGGGAGGAGCTGGACGTGCTGGCCGACAAACCGGATCTAGATACCTTTAATTACTGGATCCAACGATTCATCCCTCTAATCCGACGGAAAATGAAACACAACTCGGACATCGACGAGGCCGGCGCTGTCGACTCCGATCAAGACAAACGGATCATTCTGGTCTTCGCCAATCGAACCGGGGAGGAAGAGGGGGCCGAAGGGGCCAATCTGGCTCGATACGCGGGTACCAGCGCCATTATCGCCATCGATCAGCGCGCGCAGCCTCTTTCGTCGTCGGAGAAAGCTAGTACCGGGGCGGAAAACGCTCCGAATGGATCCGACAAGGACGGGGCAAAGGAAGAGACACCGCCGCTCGACGTGAAGATACATTGCTGGAATCTGATGGGCGCGGCAAGTGAGGGAATTTGCTTCGCAGACACCCAGGAGGATCCTAGGATGATTTTTGAGTTGGTGAAGAGGGGCGGTTGAAGGCTATTACTGCCATGATAAACCTACGAATTATAGACCTTCTGCATCTGCTCCCCTCTCTCTTCTCGTTGGGTATTCAGATCATGCGTTATGTATACATAGAGGCGATGACAGAAGATGGCGGTGGTATGACGCATGCAGCTCCAGGGTTGATCGCCGTTGTAGGATCTGCTCGAGGAGATCGTGCGTGTGGAGTCCACAAGAATCTACATTTTTTCATTTTTACAGGTTGGTCGAGATATGGAAGTTGAGGGCAGGGAACCACCCGTAGTATGTCCGACAGGTGTTGTGACATTTCTTTTTCTATTCTTTTCTATTCTGCCCTTTGCTTCTTCTACGGTTCTAATGGTGATAGACAGAAGCAGGTGTTGCCACATTCAGTAGCGATGCGACGGGTCACTTGACGTCCCTCTGGCGGTGCCTCCCATGTGACGGCTGCATTCTAGACTTCATCCCCGGACATTTAATGAAAAAGAAGGCCGTGAGAATCAATCCTCCGTCTCCTCTTATCGCCGTTATCGCATGACCCCAAGGATGATCGCCGATCCATCAGATGGACTGTCTCTCATAGGCAGCCATGAAGAAGAGACTGGGGATGATTTCCCATTCCCCACAGATCGTAACCCTCCATCCACCTTGCCATCGTCGATGGGGACAGAAGAGGGTTCGCACTGGGTAAGTCGGGGATTGAGGACCGGTGTGCAGTACATGTGACACCGGGTCAGCTGAAGTGCCGTGACATTCATTCCCTTGCTTGGGGGCAGAGCAAAGGACGACTACTTTTTTAGCAGCTAGTCGAGATGTGGAGGCATCAAATCCCTCGGCTGGGGGGGGGAGGAGGAGGAGGAGGAGGAGGAGGAGGAGGGGGTTTCAACAAGAAAGGAGGCACCTTTTTCGCCGCATTCTGAGACAACTAGTGGCACGACATTCTTGAAAAATCTAAAAAAGAACTGGGCTATGAAAAGAACAAACGAAAGAAAAAAGAAGATACGACGAGCCGGCGCGGCAGTGCTTTTTTACCACCCCCCCTATACTCCCTCCAATCCACCAACCATTCCCCGTTCCCACACTCTGTCTCGACCTTGTGAGCAACAGGGAAGCAAGCCGTATGGATGGGAGGGTTAGGGAGCACCACCGGCGACATCGGTCCTTCCCCAGGACAAACTAGCAGAGGGATCGACCGGTACTATTCACGACGGGACATAGACCGTGCTACCCAGCAGGAACCCAAGGAGGGTCGGGCCGACCGGGATTGAGCAGCATTTTCGAATTAGGACGAGTGCTTGTGCTCCAATGATGGAGATTCTGCAAGACGAGGCAATCCGGATCATTGGCCCAGGTCTGAGTTCTCTCGGTTCTCTAAAGTTCTACTACAGTCGAACGGACCACCGTCGGAAGGCAGAGCGCGAATAAGTCGGAACCTTCCCAGGCTCCCAGGCTGCCACTCCCAGGGCAGGCGGGCACCACGTGATCTTAGGGTCAACAGTTTCTCCGAGTGCCGGGCAGAGACTGAGGGCGGCCAGCCAATCAGCGGGCTGGACGGGGCCCTTGGCGGAGGAGGGGGCACGGGACTGCAGCACATGACATGACGGACATCCAGAAGGAGGGCGGCAGGAGAGGCAGACGAGTGGTTGATAAGCGGTGCGGAGGCGAGTATTTTCTTTTCTTTATTGTATTATTTCTGTTCGCTCTGCATCTGTTGAGATCCATTATTATTCACCACCGTTCCGTCCGGCACCCCCAGGATCAGGTGACCGGCAAAAGTGCGCGACGGGAGCGTGTGGCGCACCGCAGACCGCCTGGGCGTCTCCTCAGTCCGACCGAGAGACCACGTGAGTGCGTCCCTCTCTACTCGACTCGCGCTCTCTACTCTACTTCCCCGAGGGTATCCCTTCTTTCCAGTGTATTATCGTCCTCGTCCTTTTGTTCGTGCTCAAAGCCAGCCTGTTCGTCGCTGCTGAATTGCTGCTCTTCATTCTCCCCCATTTCTTTCGCGTGGAATTCTCGTTCTTCGTCTCTCGCGATCGAAACTCGCCATTCTTCCATCTTGTTGTTTCCCGTGGCAGGTGACTTGCTGTCAGGTGATAAACTGCCCATCCCAAGGTACAGTAAGAGCCCTTCTCTCTCTCTCTCTCTCCCTCTTCCCCTTCCTTGCTGCGACGGCGCCCGCTGCTTTCGTCCCCCTCCCCTTTCGTGTCAGCACGTCTCAGTCCTGTCACTCGTGATGTTCCTGCACACGCCGTCTGTCTGCCGTCCGCCGTCATCCGGTCGTGAGGGGGCTCGTTCACGATGCTGCTGTTCGGGGGGCGCGCTTGACGCCGGTCGCAAAACCGCCAGGACGCGTGTCTGATGTCGCCTCAGGGCTCATCAGCATGCTGAGCGATCCCTCTTTCTATTCCTACCCTCTTTCCCCTGCTTTTCACGGGGTTTTTGTAGCTGTATCTCACGGGGTTCCGTTGGCTGGCGCCGCTGGGTCGATCCCAAAAAACCGCATGATGTTGTGGTGCGGAGACGAGCGCGTCAGACCAACGCGTCCCCGAACACTCACCACCTCTCCCCGTTATCGATGTCTGCGTCGATCTTCACGTAAATCTGGGGCCAGTGACTGTCATTGTCCTCACGTTACTAGCTTTTACACCTGACGATTGCCGGCCAATTTTTTTTTTTTTTTTTCCCCCTCTGATTTTCTGAATTGTCGTTCAACCTCAAACACTACTTATCCTAATATCGCGTTTCATCGCGAGACTCGAGGTCGAGCTTCGAAAACACAGATACTAACATAAATAACACTCTATAAGGGCCCTGGGCGATCGCTTACTTGAAATCCCAGGATTTCACTTATACCGCGGGGTCGTGCAGTATTGAACGGGTACGTCAACTGTTGTTAACTGACGTGACGGTTAACGCCGTGCTAACGACCGTCACTCATCTCAGGAGACCGACTCACGGTCGCCTACATGATGTCGGACCCGTCCCTCGGTGGCTCGGACGGCAATGTGCCTAACAAGCGCAAGCGCGACAGCACTGACAGCACCGGACCCGATGCTCAGCGGCTGAACCGTTCTTCCAACGGTAGTAACGGCAGCATCCCCGGACCCGATGCGCAGACCAACTTCGCCCATAGCTCGCTTGGCTCCTACGATCACCATGGCCTGCCCAACGCTGCTTCGGAACTCAACATCGACCAGCAGATCCTGCAGCACGTCGGCCCTCAGAACGGCATCTCGGATGACAACGCTCTGACTGCGAAAGCTGCGCTGGCCGCCCACACTCCTCAAAACAAATACCCCCCTCCTCCTCCTGACACGTCCTTCGACAACAACATTGCCCACGGCCTGACTTTCGGCGATGATATGGGCCAGGCCATCGGATCCACCCACGGCCACAACTCCACCGCCGCTGCCGTTTATGCCGCGCGCGAAGCCCAGAGCATGAACCAGAAACCCTCGGTGGGTTCCCCGGAGTGGCATCAGATTCGCAAAAACAACCACAAAGAAGGTACTGTAGTCCATCACGCACTGCGGCATCTGGCTGTCTGCTAACCCGGCCTTTACAGTGGAACGCAGACGTCGCGAGGCGATTAACGAGGGCATTAATCAGATTGCTCGCTTAGTCCCTAATTGTGACAAGAACAAGGGTGCCATCTTGCAGCGTGCCATCGAGTACATCTGTCAGCTGCACGATGAGAAGAAGGCCATGAGCGAAAGATGGGAGCAGGACAACATGACAACCAGCCATGCCATCAGTGAGATCAGCTCGCAAAATTCGAAACTGAAGGTTGAGGTCAACCGCCGTGGCGACATCGCAACCAAGTGGCTGCAGCGCTGCCGCGATGCCGGCCTGGAGTTTGATGACTACGAGGAATCAAAGGAGCTCGAACCTCTCGAGGTAGACCAGGGCCAAGTCTAATGACTGGTTCACGTGACCTTTGTTTACATTTGCTCTCCTCTCATCTTTGCGGTGTGTTTTCCGCTTTACGGTCTTACATGCGCTACGATTTGTTTATCTCGGGAGGCTGAGGCCTCTTCTGTTGTCTCCTTTCCTTCCTTTTCCTCGTCCCTTCAAACAACCTCTCCCTCGACCAGATTTCGTTTGATCGTGTTGCGATGCCACCTTGATTCTCATTTGATTTATTTGTCTCTTCAAAGGTACAGTGTTCCATGTGTGCCGGTATGATCTCATACATGTTTCTATGGTGGGTCACATTAATCTTTTTTTCCGTTTCCTTTATTTTTTAGCCTGGGGTCGGTTTTCTGTTCTCTGTCTCTTTTTTTTAACCCCCACTATCCATTCTGATTCTGTGTGTACGTTATCAATTATCTTTCCTTTTCTCTGTTTCCTTTCACGGATGGGCTGGCGAAACTACGGCTGGGTGTGATTAATCCGGAGGCTCAAGCCTGCGATATCGCGGCGCGTTATCGGGAATGCAAGTTAAATTCGAATTATCTGTGTGTGGTTTGTAGTTGTAGATTATCTTTCCTTGTGGTTGGAGACCAAGGGTTGTAAGATGTTTCATCGTCCCGAGCAAGTCTGGATCTTGATATTCAATTCTATGTCTTGAATAGACATGATATAGATGAGGTAAGAAGGTAAAAAGATATATACAGAGAAGGGTCAAAAAAGGTAGTAAGAAAAAAAAGAATAAAAGTTGCATCAAGAACCGCGCTTCATCAAGCGCAAAGAAGCCATATCATCGGCATATCGAACGTAAGAAGCGGGCAATGCAAACCGCTCGGAGAATGCAAGGAATATAAAAGAGAAGGTAGAAAGTTAAAAAAGTCCGAACGATGGAGGGAGAGAGAGAGAGAGAGAGAGAGAGAGAGGAAATGAGATATCGAACCACGCAGGGACCATGCAAGCAAGGTACCCACAGATCTCACACCAAGATTGAACCCAACCCACTCAGTTCATCACATCTCATCTCATCTCATCTCTCTGAATCACGAATGTCGAATGTCGAACATCCTTCAAAGAGAAAGAGACAGACAAAAAGGAGACTCTTAAAAGTTACTCGTCGCCTCCTTCTCAACTCCCGACTGGCAACCCACATTCTTAACCGTGACCACACCGCCAGACTTCGCCGTGACCTTGACATCAACACTCTCGGTACCAAAGCCGCTCTCGTTCTCAAAGAAGTTGTAGTCGCTGCGGGTGGTCGCCTGCCAGGTGCTGCCGCCGTCGGTGCTGACCTCCAGTTTCTCGACGGGCTCGTTCGCGTTCACGACCTGCATGGAGAACCAGTAGGCGGAGGTGCCTTCCTTGTTCTTCAGGGTGATGGGGGAGTCGATGCCGCAGGGCACGAAGGACCAGGAGATGGGGATGATGCCTTCCGAGGTGGCGGCGAGCTCGGAGAAGGCGGTCTCGAAGAGGTCGAGGTGGTTGGATTCACATTCGGGGCATTTGTCGACGATCTGGAAAGTCATATGTTAGAGTTGGGGGGTTGATGGTTGATGGAGGGAGTGAGGGAAGGAAGGTGTACGTACCATGGCCTTGACGCTGTTTCCGTCAGGTCCCTTGACCGACACGCAGGCGCCGCAGGAGGCGGCGTCATTCCAGCGGGCTTGCGAGAGGGCCGTGCCGAAGAGGCTGCTGGGGATGGTGTATCCGCTGAAGGAGCACGCACCGCCGGACACGTTGCCGCCGTAGAAGGTGGCTTTGCCAGAGTTGGTGGCACCAGAGGTGCCGGAGGAGGACGAGGAAGAGGAGCTAGAGCCAGCATTGGAGTTCGAGTTGGAGTTAGAAGAAGAGGAAGAAGCGGCAGTGGTAACGGCAGGCTTAGCGGCCTGGGTTGTGGTAGGGCCAGCAACCACTGGAGCCTCAGTCTCGGTGGTGGAAGGGGCAGGGGCAGCAGCAGAGGACTCAGATGAGACAACAACAACCGTCGGCTGCTGCTGAATAGAGCTGGATGTAGTGGAGGGCTCTGCAGCGGCAGTGGTCTCAACGGGAGCGGCCTCGGCCTCGGACGTAGCAGGGGCCTCCGTGGCGACAGGGGCAGGCATTTCCACCAAGGTCTGGTAGGTCGGCTGGATGGGGGTCTGCGTGGTGCTGACCGTCGTCTCCGAGGCCAAGGTGGTCGAGGTGGTCGAGGTGGTCGAAGAAGAGACCGCCGTGGTCAACTCAACGGACGAAGTCGACGTAGGAGCGACCTCCGCGGTGACGGTGATGTAGTAGACACTGGGCGAGTAGCCGGGAGGACACTGGCCGTTGTCCTTGTGGTGGAAGACAGGGCTGGCCGTGCCGAGAGCAGCAAGACCCAGAGAGACAATAGACTGGTACTTCATGATGATGTAGGGAATGAACAGTAGTCTGCTGTAGTAAAGAAGGAGTGAATTTGCGAGCAGCTGAATCGAAAAAGATTGGACGTGCAACCCAGCACAAGAATCGAAGTGTAATGAATGGACACCTGGATATCAAATCCTAGGATAAACAGATCTGCTGTTCCAGACAATGAGTGTAAGGAGAGACGAAGAACAGAAAAAACCCAAGGCCCGGAACGAGCAGGGAGGATATATGAGCGGACCGAATTCGAGTTGCCTGCGGTGGCCACCGGACTAGACACGAACCGCCTGACGCCCGCAATATAAAAGCAAATGAACCATCCAAGAAAACAAGGCCACTAGTGCCATGGTTTTGATGAATCGTAAGCCCTAATCGTAGAGTGGTGGCCACTGGTTTGGGCTCTATCGCCGACTAGCGAAATGAGACGTTTATCTGAAACGCCGGACGTGGATCAAGACGGTCAAAGGCCACCACGCAAAGCGCAAAATTCGTTCACATTGTCCCCATCTTTGCTGGCGCGGGATCTTGATAACTGGGTCGTCCGATGGCTTCCGCAGGCTTAGCTATGAGCGTTGGGAAATTAAACTACAGAATCCTGGACCCACTGCGAGCAATCAGATCCTGCGGTGGAAATGAAGCCAGCACCAGCCGGGCCAGGGACCCCTGGAATTTGTTTTGGAGTCAAGACAAATCGCTCATTTGCGCTCATGAGGGGCAAGACTGATCATTTGAGCTTTGAGAGCAATCGATCATGTATGTTCGACGTCTAGGATCTAGACCAATGCGGTGTTTCATCATGTATTTTCGGAGGCTGAAGCAAAGGAACAATCGACGTCAGTATTCAACGATGATTTGGTGCGCTTGTCGCAGCGTCTCTTTAACTCTAGGCTGTCTTTCGTCTATTGAGGTCTGAATTAAATATGTATAATGGTGCGTGGCGCTAAATCACTGAAGCCAATCGGAGCCGAATCCATCGGCCTTCGAGCCAAATCGTTTAAATATAAAGAATAATCAGGAGCTTCATGTCCTTCCAAATCGCCCTTTATTTGGAATCCCACATAATTTCGTTCAATCGCAGAAGTGCGTCTGCGCTTGCTTTCTTCGCAAACATGAAATCTTCCCGGTTCTCTGCTCCCCTAGGTCCTAGGAGGTAATCAGAGAAGGAGAGATCGATGAGGACCTTGAGTTCCTCATAGGTAAAAGGTTCCCCATTTCCTGCGGCCAACGCTTTGTCGCCCTTAGCCGCAAAGTACTCCTTTTCGTCCTTGGCATAGTCAAGGGCCTTTTCGGCACCTTCCAAGAACCAGTCAAGGAACTTGGCACTGCGCGGAAGCGCGACACTCTCTTCCTGGGCGGCCAATTCTTGGTCGGAGACGTTTCCATTCTCCGCCAGGTCGGCGGTCGGCGCGATGATGACATTCTTCAAGTTCTGCTGCAAGACAAGAACATCTAGCTGCAGCCGTAGAGCCCCGTTCTCATTCATGGCACCAATAAGGGGAGTTCTCGACACAAAGGTTTGGTCGATGAACCGGGCTAGACCCGATGTGATGAACCAACGCTCAGAGGACCCCAAGTAGGTGGAGATATTGGTATCAAACGCAATCAGATCGTTGTTTAGCTCAAGCACTGTGGGCGATGCAGCCGTTGGCTGGTTCTTCACAATATGCCACCAGTCGGTCGTGGTATTGGGTGAAGGCGTCACTGGTTCAGAGTTGCGAGTACCGGGAGGATTGGGCCCGGCCATCGTTCGGGTCAGCATGTGAATGACACCGCACCGAATGTCAATTTGCAGGGCAAAGAGAGCAGTCAGAGAGAGTTCCCGCAGAGACTGAAGGGTTGTATCGAATGCAGTCGCCGTCTCGATGTTCAGAGGGAGATAAACAGGTTGGGAGACGCTATCTCGCCTGGGTTTCATCGCACTGACCAAAGTCCACCGGCGGTTCCCAGGGCCTCTCTCAGTTTGTGACTTCTGCGACTCTGGGCTAGGCTGAGTAATTTGACGCAATTTTCCGAGATGACTTGCAAGCCATTGCTGGTTCACTGTCAGTCAGCCATATACCAGTAATGTAAGGGGAACACCAACCATGCTATTGTACAGAAGTGACAGAGCGGCCACTGTCTTGGGGTCGGAAACAATATCGTACGGTTCTAATGGTACATCGTTTGTGCGCTTGAGGAGGATACTCGTTTCCTGAGAAGGTTAATTGAATTCCAAGGGCTGGTTGCCATATACGTGTAAGTTACCTTATCGATGAGTGCTGGCTTTTCGTCATTTTGCGCTTGCCACAAGCCACTAACCAAGTCGCGCAGTTCACCGGAATCAGCAAACAGAGCTGCCGCCTTGAGTCGAGCTCCTTGATTGACCTTTGTAACGATGGCTTTATCGCTATTGTCAGAGAAATACCATAAAACATCAAGGGTACAAACTACTCACCTTTGTACCAACCACAGCACTTGTCGTAGAAGTTTACAATCTGAGAGATAAGAAGTTGGGAGAATGCCTGGTCATGAGGGATGCTTGATAGCATTTTACTGAACTCTTTAATAATAGACATGAACTGGACCGTTCCCTAGAATGTCGATGCGTTAACCAATGGTGGTTATAAAGAAAGGCTGACATCAATATTACCTTAAACAGCGGCCGTGGAGAAACTGCCGACCAGTGAGAGTCTTCAGTGAATGCGTCTGGCGCAATGTAGCTGAGGGTACATAGATCGTTCACAGTCTCTTCCAACTGGGGAAGGAAAACGTTGACAAGGAAGTCGTCCAAGAATGAGGTCAACGTGCTCATAGCAATATCCGACTCCACAGGAACGATTTCTTTCAACCGCTGGATGAAGGAGAGTGAGGGCGGAAGGAGGAGACTCATGTTGAACACGCTCGGCTCTAGAAGAATTTTATGACCGGTGCCCGAGTTTCCTTGCTTGGAGTCGGATGCATTTTCTGCAGAGGATTTCTGTCTTGATTTGGACACCAGTCCAGGAACCGACGCTCGAAGAATTTCGTCCAGCTCATCCTGCTCGGCTTGGATTTCCGTTGTTCGATCGGCCTCCGACAATTTAAACATTTTCTGGATTTAGTTAGCATTGGGAGTGCTCTGATTCTTGTCCCAATTATCAATTACCTTGTTCTTGTCTCGGATGCCTGAATAGAATTGGCGCCTGGCTTCGGACTCTTCAGCTCCTTGTCGCAATGACACACCGTCTGTGGCCAAATAGTCGTGCATGATAGATCGAATCTGTTCGCAATATATCAGAAAAAAGGTGCCACATTGCCCAATTCCACACTTGTCAACTTACCTCGCTCTGATAGAGCTTCCACAACTCCTTGAAACCACCCACGAGAGAGCTACTTTTAGGAATTCCCTCACGTTCCACGATGGCCGCAATGACATCGTGAACAACTCGGTGACCCTCGGCAATGGCCTCAAACTTGGCATATAGGGCCCACAGGTATTCAGATAAGACGTGTCCACGTTTCTCGATGACCTCGGTGGGCAAGGCGGCCTTGTTGTCTTGAGATGCGAAACCGCGAGTCGGGTTCGGATAGCGCGCATCAATCTCAGCATTCGTTTTGTCAACTACTGAGAAAAGCTCAACCGGGAGCCGCTGTTCAATTCGGTCGACAGCTATATCCAGATGACCCATCTTGTTGAGTGCTTCCACCAGCAGCTGGATGTAGTAAAAGGTGTCGGCTTCTGGATTCCGCGAAGCATCCTCGATCATAGGCGTCGTGGCATCCAGCTTGGCAAGGAACCCATACACGGGTCTCTCCCAGGTAGTAGTTCCAGTCAGACTGGCCGGAGTTCCACCGTTATTTTCTCCCTCCGCTGTAGGCTGCTTCCATCGACCCGAGCAATAGGGAGACTTGAGATACAGATGGTCATGTAATTCTTCCACCAGAATGTCGGTAATTGAGCTTTCCTGGTTGGTGAAATAGGCCCGAATGTCCGCTAGAGCGCCGATATTGTCCAAATCCGAACGTCGGAGTAGCCGAAACGCATTGTGAAGTACTTCGACCGCAGCAAGGAACCGCTTATCCGATATCAACGATTCTAACTTCTCCGGGAGGGACTGGATTTCCTGGATCTGGCTAAAAAGCTGGATAATGTCGTCGTACTTTTGGGATGATGTCGCTAAGCCCTTCAGCTCGGGCTTGGTCGATAGTAGCCCACCTTTTGCCTGCTCCAGCGCATTCTTCAGATTCCGGACCCGGCCCTGTGAACTTTGTATACTCGATTGAATCTTATGATAAGTACCGATGGAACTGTTGAATCCCTGGTGGTGCTCTGTCAAGGCATCTCTATCAGTATCGGGAAACAAAGGTGCAAGGGCGAAAACGAACCATTGACAACAGACTTCAGAGTCTGCTGAATCTGATCGTGCATGTTCAGGAAGTCCGGCTCGCGATCGGACTTCCCTAACGTGCTTGTGTCCATCAGCTGTAATGCCACTTGCGCCGGTACGCAATCATCGGAGGCCACGAATGCCCATTCGCTATGAATTGATTGTAGGACACCTAAAGCAAGCACCAAATGATCAGCAATTGAGAGAGAAATGTGTCAGGTCGTAGGGAGCCAAACCGTCAGTAGCATGGGCCCCTGCCACTGAATTGCTCAAATCTCGATCCCTGCCCCTCTCCCTCTCCCCGCTACTACTGCTGTTGGCCAGCCAGCCAGCCTCTCCTTGTGATCGACCATCGCGCGAAGTCTGCAACTTCCTCTCGGGATCAGCTTCTCGGTCTCGTGTGCGGGAGCGCGACGAGGACGAATATTCGGGCTCCCGCTCCCATCGATCGCGGCGTCGGTCGGGAGAATGAGACGGGGGCAATGGGGGTTGCTGCGAAGCCTCCGGATAGAAGCCACCGTAGCCACCAGGGCGACGGTCTCGTCCTCCTCCACCTCCGTAGCCGTTTACCCCCAGGTTGCTATTGCTGCTGCTGCTGCCGTATCCTCCATCGGGGCGGTCGTACCGGCTGGAGTCGGAGTAACCGTATCCGTTGCCGTAACCGTTTCTGCCACTCATACCAGATCGCTGATGCCGGTAGATATTATGCGAATTGGATCAAGTCTAGGTGCGAAGGCTTCCGAAAGGAAGGGGAATGGCGGGGGGCTCGAGGATAGAAGGCCGGCTTGGGTCGGGTCGCGAAATCAAATTTTCGGTGTTCAGGCGCTGGCGCAATGAGATCAGGAAGGAGAGGATGCGACCATGATCATCCTCACGGGCAAGGAGAGTAGGGGGTAAGTACAAATGGCTCGACAGCAACGGGAGGCGGTATGGAGTAGAAAGTAGAAACAGAAAGGAGCAGTCATCGATGGGGTGGAAGGCGGCTCGCGCTTCTCCACACAAGCAACCAGCCACGTTCCGCAATGCACCACCGAAGGAGGGCCGAGAGGTATGTACTGTACAGAGTACCATCATCGGCATCTTTATTTAGCACCAGCAATTACACATCACATCCATTAAATGGCGTGCACTCTATGTCAAAGATTGAATTAAAAAGGCTCGTCCGTTCCTGACCCAAGCAGGCTTCAGACTGCGAATAATACTACGTAAGACACCTTCTGCCAGCACTTATTTCGAAATGGGCTTCGTCTCGCGCTCGAGCCACTTGCGGGTGTAGTCATCATTCTCAAAGAAGTGATGCGTCTTATCCCAGATCTCAGCATGGTAGTCATTGACCCATTTGATCTCCGAGTCGCTCAAAAGAGAGGGTTCGATCAGGTTGCGACCGATGGGAGTCATGGTGACATGTTCGAAGCCCAGCCACGGGCGATCGCCGAAGTTATGCGTCGTTTGGACTTCACGAGCCATGATGACATCTATCGACCAACCTGAGTTAGACGATTCAATTTCCGAAGGGAAGGGGAGGGTGCTTACTCTCGATACGGATACCAAACTTGCCGTCCTCGTAAAATCCGGGTTCTATACAAATTAGCAGATGCCCATCTGAGATCCAATTCACTGGAACGTACCGTCCGAGATGACATTGCCGGGGGCAATAGGAACTTCCGTATACTGGACGCGACTGCCGATACCCATGGGGCCCTCGTGCACATTCTACAACCATTAGCCTAGGCCTCATAAAAGGAGGCTGAGTACTCACCAAGTAGGAGCCAATTCCGTGACCGGTTCCGTGCAAGTAATCCAGTCCCTCTTTCCACAGGTGCTGTCTCGCCAGAACATCTAACGCAAACCCACTGGTGCCTTTAGGGAAGACGGCGGAATCAAGTGCGATAACACCCTTCAAGACCAAGGTGAAAGCTTTCTTCTCGACCTCGGAAGGCTGTCCGAAATGGAATGTTCTCGTCACGTCTGTCGTGCCGTCGAAATACTGAGCACCCGAGTCACAGAGATAAATGGCCTTAGGATCAATAATGGCGCAGCTTCCCTTCTCGGGCTTGTAATGGATGACAGCGCCGTTAGGGCCCGTGGACGAGATGGTGTCGAAGGAAAGGCCCGCGAAAAGATCATGCTTGGATCGGATCTGCTCCAACTTGTCGGCGGCATCCACCTCGTCAAGAGTGGTCTTCTTGTTGACCAGTTCGTTCTCGAGCCAGGCAAAATACTCGGTCAGCGCGGCACCATCCCGGATATGACACGCTCGCATACCCGCGAGTTCAACGTCGTTTTTGATAGCCTTAGCATCGCCAATTGGGCTACGGGCCTCCTCCACGTGGTCCTCGCCTCCCAGACTGAGACTCAGGGCCCAAGAAGCTTTGTTGGAAAGAAGGAATTTCGCTGGCTGCGATTCTTGCTTGCGCGCCTCGCTGATAGCCTTGACATCAGCGAAAATGGAGTCGTATGGTTTGATGGCGACATCTTGACCGAGATGAGCTTTGACCTCGGGGGTCAATTTATCCTCATCGACGTAAAGATCGACCGATGTGGGCGTGACAATGGCGTATGAGAAGAAGACGGGGTTGTAGGGAATGCTTTCAGTTATCCGGTCAGCAACAAATGGAAGAGAGAAAACATGGGGCCGAAGTGGAACTTACTCGGTGCCACGCAGGTTGAACAGCCAGGCAATTTCATCCAGCATGGCTATCATTCGCCTCGTTAGTCACCACACAATTGGAAAGGGATCGGGACACAGTACAAATAACAAAACCGGCATATTTCTTGGTCTCTAGCTCCTTGCGCAGATCACCGATCTTCTCCTGGAAGCTCTTTCCCGCATACTTCTCCGGGTGGACCTTGACTAGCTCCCTTGGGGCCGCAGGTCGGTCCTTGCCCCAAACTAGATCAACCAGGTTCTGCTGAACGCCCACCAACGACGAGCCGTTCTTCTTGAGGGTCTCGGTCAGGCTGCGAGCACCGGCTATAGGGCATTAGTTGTCGGATCTCTGAGCTTTCACGTGAGAGAAAATTGAGATTACTTACACGGAGTGAATAAAGCCGGGTCAACGCCGACGACCTTACCGCCCTCAGCTTGCTCAGTGGTCCTAGATAACACTCAGCTTGTCTTCTTCGGATGATCTGGGTTCTCTGTTGCGTACCATTCCTGCCACGTCGGAACACCTTCTACGCCCCGTTTCAGGAGTTCCCAGTTGCTATCCAGCTGTTTCGCGGCCTGATTGAAGTAACGACCGTCGGTTGACAGGGCAGCCTTGGTCCGAGAGACAATAGCAGTACCCGCGGACCCGGAGAAGCCGGAGATAAATTCTGCAGAAAGAGATTTGAGTTATAACGGTGACTGCAGACAGATTCATTGGAATCGCGGCATCAAAAGGGCGTAATAATCAAGGGCGACATTCTAACCTCGACGACCGTCACATGGGGCGATATATTCCGACTGGTGGCTATCTTCCGAAGGAACAACTGTTGGAGAAAAAAACGAAAATAGTTAGCAATGGCATCGGAGAGGGAAGAGGGGAAGATATGATGTCATACTGTATACATCGACCTGGTGCTCCTGCATCAACTGTCTCAGTTTGGCCAGGCGTTCGGAAGTGTTGACGGTCTCCATGTCGGCGGAGTAGCGCGGGACGGAGGAAAAGAACCTAGAGCGGGCGAAAGATAATTGGCGAACCGATCGGAAGGTTGACGACCAACAAAGGCGAATTGGAGGGTGGGAAAGGAGCATCGACAGGTGAGTTGGACCAGGGAGGGATGCGGGTGTCCGATGAATGGTCTCCCGAAGATGAGGCCTTGCAAGCACAAGCCTCCTGGGGATGTTACACAAGGGAGAGAGAAATAAGAAAGAAGGGAAGGGAAACGGTGGACAAAGCCCGCAACTAGCAAATGGAACCAGGGCTAGTTATATGCAGAATTGCACGAGAGAAAGAGAAAGAGGCCGATTGCAGGGTTGAGGTGGCAGACGTGGAGAGATTCAACCAACGAGATATGACGGATGGGGAGCTTTGGGCAGACGGCCGGTTGGTTACCGTACAGTACCGCATGGGTATTCACGGGATATCTTTCGTCAATTTCCCTGCAAATACACGGTATGGCCGATACCGTGACTGACCCGTGACCCGCAGGAGATTCCGTCATGGCGGAAGAGAATCACCCTTGGCATTGATCAAAGACTCACTTATTATTATGGTTATTATCGTCATGCCTTCTCCCTCCAAGACATCAACTGCACGGGGGTCGCTTGACTGCGAACTAGACAGAATGGCAAAAGTATACGCGGGTTGAATATTAAAATGGCCAGATTCCCCCTTTTCTTTGCCAGACCTGGTCTGACTAGTCACATGTGGTGAATGGTTTTCGCCCAACAGTCGCCAGGTGAATATTATTACCTGCTTCTTGAACCCTTCTTTCCTCATCCTCTCACGGATGAATCCCCCAAACTCTCCCTCCATCCCACCTTCTCACCGCCTTACCCTTCCGTGATAGCGCTATCACCACGTGACACCCCTTTACCCGTGCCGCCGGCCCAAACTATACATCCTTTTCTGATCCCTGTGGCACTGCGGCCTCAATGGACGTCCCTAGCCAAGGCTCACAAGTGCAGCCTCTCCTTGATGAGGCCAAGACAGTAAGTCTCCCCTTCTCACCTTGGATTTTGTCAACCCTGGCCTTCAATATCTCTAAATAGTCTTTTAGCTTGTCTCCCAGCTCTACAATCCGGCCAACACCGGCAACCCTGCTAAGGTCAAGGCCATCCAAGAACAATTGCAGACCCTTCAGAGGAGCCCCCAGGCATGGCTGATCGCCAACTATCTCCTCGGTGATCAAAGTACGGATCTGAGGTTCTTTGGCGCCTTGACATTTACCGTCAAGATCAACCAGGACTGGTATGCTAGCATCCCTTCCGGGTTGATGAATCCAATGCTAATGAGTCGTTTGCAGGCAACAACTGAGTAAAAATGAGATCCAGGAAGTCGTGGCACGTCTCATTGATCATTATGTCTTCCTGGTCAACGGAGGAGAGCAGGCTCTAGTAATCCGCAAGCTGGCTTCCAGCTTAGCCACGATCTTCCTGAAGCCTAATGCCCCATGGATTAGTGCAATTAAGAGTCTAGCGGCCTCTCTGGCAAGTGGAAAGTACGTTCCGGAGCAGCAATGTCAGTCGTTCGACTTGCAGAATGCGATCCTTCCGGCGATGCCCGAAAGATACGTGGCCAGCCTGCTTTATTTCTCCAATACCCTGGGCGAAGAAATCAACAGGTCCTCAGAGTCCCGCAAACCTGAAGACGCCGATCGTATCTCCCAGAATGTTGACGATGCCTTCGCTCTGGTGAACTTTGTTCTTTACAATATTCTGCAGCAGCGGGCTACTGGTAGCACTATTCCCGAGGTTCCCGGAATGGAGACTATCAATTCATATCACGTAAGTAACAGATTCTTTCGTTTAAGGTGTATTCATTTGCTCTTATTCATTTTCCCCTCGAGACGTGTCTAACTTTAAACCTTAGTCATGGACGTCTGTCCGAAGTGCGTTCCCCTCGCACGACGCTGCATCCACCTCGCAGCCTGACAACACAACCAATCTCGTCATCCAGACCTTGAACATCCCCAGTCTTTCCAAAACTGCAGCACAGGTCCTGGTTGAAATACTGGATTGGCGGGACAACACACTCAAACCGGACCATCTCGACTTAATCCTGGAATATCTCGTCAGCGACACCGGTAGCAAGCACGTGATGGGTCTACTCGACGCCGATTATGATGATGAGAACATGACATATCTAGAACTTCTGCTGGCCTATGCATCACTGAAGCAGCGAGACCTGCTAACGAAGACTCTTGATACACAGCATGCGCGACTGCTGGAATTGCTCCACACCGCGTTCAGGGCTTCCGGATTCGCAGCAGTCGAAGATATGGCGAGTCCGTTGTTGGTGGAATGGTGGACAGAAGTTGCCGACGACCTCCAAGAAATCATGCTAGAAGCAGAAGACCAGTCCGGATTCGCATTCGCCAAACAAAACTTAGCGCGCGCAGCCACGAGCTGTTTCCACAAGCTGCACTGGCCGCATTTATGTCGCTTGCGAGAATGGTCCGATGATGATCGCGCCGAATTTGGATCTTTTCGCCGTGACGTCTGCGATTTTCTTCTGGCCATCTATCCCATGCTCGGGGTGGAGTTGGTCCAGGTGTTCCAGGAGCACGCCACGCACTCGCTTGCGCACGAGAACTGGAGGACATTCGAGGCGGCCACCTTCTGCATTGCCCAGCTTTGCGAGGCGGTGGATGAAAATCAGCATGCGGATCAGTGTCTGAATACGATCTTCTTCAGCGATGACTTTGCTCGGTTGTGCGAGAGCAACGAGCTGGAGATCCCGGACAAGGCCCGCCAAACCCTGGTGGACATGTTTGGAAAATACCGGTCGTACTTTGAGCGGACCCATGCCTTGCTCCCCCGGGTGTTGACATTCCTCTTTGCATCGCTCGAGGTGTCCTCGTGCGCCTCGGCCGCATCCCGGTCTATCTCCTACCTCTGCAAATCCTGCCGTAATGCTCTTACCTTCGAGCTGCCCGCTTTCATGACCCAATTCGAACAGTTCCGCATGAAGCCCACCGCCACGACCTCCACCATGGAGAAGGTGCTGGAGGGCATAGCAGCGATCATACAGACCCTACCGGCCGACGAAGAGAAAGCCCACATCCTCGAAGGCATCCTGAAATCTTTCCACGAACAGGCGATGCTAGCACGGGATGAAGCCGCGCGCGGCCTCGTCGATCCCGCCCGCTACCTGGCTCATATGGTGCTTCGATGCGTGGCCAGTATTGGCAGAGGACTCCGGACGGAAAACGAAGTCACCCTAGACGGCGGCTCCGGCGGAGACAGTAACCCCTACCCACCGACATTTTGGAATGTGGGCAACGGCGTTGCCTCACAGAACCTCATCATGCAATGCGTGCAACTCCTCGTGACCGATTTCCCCCTAGACGTCGCCATCATCGAAGCGGCCTGCGACATCCTCAAGGCGGGCTACACCGAGCGAACGGGTCCGTACGTCTTCCCACCGATGATGACGGTGAACTTCGTCAAGAGCATCCCCTTCGGCAGCGCTGGAACGGACATGGTGATGGGCACGGCGTCAGCGTTCCTCGCCTCCCACGCTGCGCACCCAGAGCACGTTCGCGAGGAGACAGTGGCGCTGATCGTGCACGTTTACGGTTCGTTCTGCTGGATGCATGAAAAGCCGGAGTTTTATGACCCCGAGGTGGCCAACAGCGGCATGGACTTCCTGACCCGCCTGCTCCCCCGGTATCATCCCTACCTGTTCACGCTACACAGCGCGCCCTCGGAGCCCAGTACCGCCGACGCCACTGCCGCCGGTCTTGGAAACGGCCGGCTGCAACGACCGCCGGTGCTCCAGGCCATCTTGAACTTCACGCTTCTGTCATTGCAGGGCACGGATCCACTGCCCCTGCGGTCGGCGTCTCAGTTCTGGGTCAGCACCATCAATCTGCCGACGGAGGTCGAGTCCGTGCAGCTAGCCATTCGCGACAGTCTTCCCCCGCTGTGCCGCATTCTGATCGTGCAGGTAGCCGGCCGGTGCGCGCGATCGGATCTGGATCATTTGTGCGAAGTGCTGCGACGAGTCATTTTCAAACATCAAGGCAACGCCCGTCCGCATCTGGCGACGGCGTTGTCCGAGTTGCCGGACGACACCGGCGCGACGAAGAGCGAGGAGGAGGTGGCCACTGTTCGTCAGGAGAGGCAACGCTTCCTTGCATCGCTGATCGCTGCTCGAGGCGCCAAGGCGCAAACGGCCCAGTTGACCCGAAACTTTTGGATGAAAAGTCGGGGAACGGGATTCGACTATGTCAGGTAGAGGGATTGGAAACCATTTAAGAGGTTTGATTTAAGAGGAACACAGAGACATGAATAAGAACAAGTTGTGAGAGAAAGAATGAGAAATCGAAAGAGAAAACAGACCAGATCAGACCAGATCAGATCAGAGAAGAGAAGAGAAGAGAAGAGAAGAGAAAGCAAAGCGAAAATACACAAGTCCATCCACCACAGTCGATTCAGTCGAAGTAAAACCCAACCAACCTGACTAAGGCCGTCCAAAGTGAGGCTCGAAGGAGCGCCATGACTTAGGTTATAAGATGACGCTCCCCCACCGAGTCCGAATCAGAACCCAACACACCCATAACAAGACAAGACCAGACCAGACAATGCAAAGTCTAAAATCCATGCCTAATGACGACACCACCTCCCCCTTACCGCCCTGCGATGCCACCTGGTGTGATTGTTGTTCGACGCCAAGTGGAGCGAACAACATGCATGCAGCCCATCCATCCACCAGCCACGGAGGCGGTGCACCAGGCATCAACCGACAAATGACAAGTGCCAACTGCCAAATGGCGGTCTTCCCTCGAGCATGAATATCGAATGAAATCATCATCCCCAAAAGGACCAGGGCACAATTTCCCATTTCCACGATGCGCCTTAGATGTGGGTCGGGGTCCACCCTGACGAGCCTCGTTGGGTTTAACTCGCTGCCATTATTAGCTATGTTTAGCACATCAATCTAAAGATTTCTTCCATGGGTTGTTTCAGTCTTTCAGGCCTGTTGCTCTTCAATTGATCTTTCCATCTTTCCCATACGTATACTCCTTTTCTTTCCCCCGCAGTATATCTCCTCTTGATCTCTCCCCCATACTCCCTCCTCTATAACTTTTTCTCTCGTTCAACAACATCAACAAACATACCCAAAGAAAATGCCCCATATAGCCAACACCCCCGAATCCCTCCTCCCGCGGACCGACTCCCTAAACCCATCCACAACATGCCGCGGAACGACCAACAGCGGAAAACCCTGCCGCCGACCCCTAACAACCTCCCCAGATAGTCCACCACCCGCCAAACTCGCCAAATCAGACCCCTCCGTGCTCTTCTGCTGGCAACACAAAGACCAAGCCGCGTCTGTCCTCCAAGAAGCAACTGCCGCCGCCGCAGCACCAAATGGCACTAATCCATCCGCGCAAGCGAATCCCCGAACTAGTATCGACACGCTCATGGAACGACTGGGCGTGATGGATCTGAACGGGGGTGACGGGTCGAAACCACATCGACGGAGGACCCAGAAACAGAAGAAAAAGAAGAAGACAAGACGCACGATATGTTGCTGTTTCGAGGTCATCGAGGAAGAAGATCTGCCTGTACCTGCGAGACCGGTTCAATCTCCACCATCTCAGCCTGCACCTCAACCTCAAATGACACAAGTCTCCACACCACCCGTCGACCGTGCCCGACAAAAAGACCCCATCATGAAATGGATCCCGCCCACATTATCCGATCAAACAACCACAGTCCTAGCCAGCGAACTCGAGAAACCGATCTCCGATGCCGACGAGCCCGGATACATCTATATGTTCTGGATGACGCCGACAGACGGAACGAACAACAACGGCAACGAGATGACGCGATCCGGATCAGGAGGACCACCAACGCGGGCACCAACACGGGAACTCGCGTCGTCGTTACTAGCGCCAGAGACCGGGTCCAGTCGACATCAGAACCCGCGACGGATCAGCGACGCGTTGCAGACGGCTCGGGAGATGAATAGCCTGACGACTAATCCCACGGAGACGAGTCCGGGGACGTTACGGTTGAAGATCGGACGCGCGAATAACGTGCAGCGACGGTTGAACGAGTGGTCGAGACAGTGCTCGCATGAACTCACCCTCATTCGGTATTACCCCTATACTCCCTCGACACCGTCGCCGTCGCCGTCGCCGTCGCCGGCACGACACGGGGCAGCGGGAAGGCACGCGAGCCCTGGAGGACTTCAGGCGGGACGCAAAGTGCCGCATGTGCATCGCGTGGAGCGACTGATTCATCTGGAACTGGCGGATGTCAAGGCGCGAGACTTGGGCAAGTGTCCGGACTGCGGCAAGGAGCACCGCGAGTGGTTCGAAGTGCCGGCGGACAAGGCATCTCTGAAACGGGTGGACGACTGCATACGCAGATGGGTGGAATGGGCCGAAACTCATTGAAGCATGGGAAGGGCAAATCGTTGAGGATCATCTATCTAATACATCTTAAGAGTGAATACAAACAGGTCGCTCGGCGGACCGTCAACCCCATAGACTACCTATACAGCAATACAGCACTGTCGGCCCGGGTGATCAAATGACAGCAGCATAAACACCTATATGAAAAAGAAGATCACCTTTACTATCCCCAGCGTCACCCACAGACAGAACAGCATCACCATCACAGTCCCCCGCAGCAGAAGCAGGCCCTAGACATGAAGGTTCTGGCTCACCTAAACATAAAAAAAACACCGGCAGAGTCCTTTTCACCGATAAACTCCATGTGATGCATGGCACAGAGAAGAGGAACAGGCTTTTAGAAAATACATGCGACAACATTCGGACCAAGACCGCCAGCTGGATTGATCCCAGCATTGTTAGCAGGGCCGACCACAGGGGTGTTCTGAGGAGGGTTCTGAGGCTGGAAATTGCCCTGGTTATTCCCAACGGCATTCGGCATCGGTGGATAAAACCAGTCGTGAATGGATTATGCCCATGCAGCCGCCCAAAACCCCGTCCCCCCACACAATCACAAGCCCAGTTTTTTTTTTTTCAGAGTATGAATTCGAGGTACTGGAAGTAGTGAAATTTCATGGAATGTTGATTGTTCTGATGATGAAATTTTTTGTATAACTATACGTACCCTATAACTAATTCAACGGAATTCTCCGCGGATATCACGGTCAGGAAGGTACCGAACCGGGGATCTTGCACATCAGGAACGCGGAACACATGCAGTAATAAAAAAAAAGTGAACTTTTAACCAACGAAGAGAGGCAGGCAGGCAGTCAACAAGTGAAGGTATATATAATGTTAAGTGTAACAAAAAAACATACTTTTTTGATGCCCCCACGTGGGATTGACGCGGCCCTCTTCATGTCGAGGAAAGCTTTTGCTGCTTTGCTACACTGTCTTATAGTTAGTACGGGCTAAGAGGGTTAAGGTGATATTGACAACTAACAGTGAAGCGCTCTGCCACTGAGCTATAAGGGCAGCAGATGAACGTATGTTCAATATAGCTACATGGTATAATCATTTGTACTGAAATGTGAAACGGAGGGGTCGGTGGTGAAATGGGAGGCAGGTACAGACATTGTAAGAATGGATCGGACCGTCCAACTCAATATCGCGATATAGATGGTGATATAGATTGGAAGTGTGGACCGGGATGGTAGCGAATTACACGGACGAACTACTTGACACGATTGGCAACAGATGCAAAGAATGGAAAGGACAGAGAAAGCCATCCGTTGACTCGACGCAGGGCGACTCCAGTAGTTATAGGCAGGAACCTCCCCAGAAGGTATCGCAGGATCGTACGGCCCGGTATCCGTACGCAGCCCTGCCCGTCACGTTCCGTACAGAATCACGTGCACTCTGGGGAGAGCGGCGCCGATTCCGGTCCAGCAGATCCCATGCAAGAAGAGCCGCGGTCACTGCAGAGTCCGGCCCACTTTCTGTCATCTGCAAATCCAATTCAGTCACCGAAGGAGGCGTGGCGGAAACCTTAACAATGACCAATAACGAACCATTGGGTTAGCCACGGCATCTGGCGAACTAACGAACAGGTACTAGCTCGGTGGGTTAGTTTCTGCGCCCTATGAGAAACATGTCTGATGTTTCCACGACCTTGGACCGCCGAGTGCCACCGCCTTATACTCCTCTAGGAAGGCGGGGTGTAAGATGTGGGCAATGGGAAAGAAAACCGGAGTCGGTTCACGTCCCGCTCAGAGTGGGTGCACGCGTATGTTGCCGCTTTAGGAATGGGGATCGAGAATACCTTCTGGGCATCTCCTTCCAAGTCCAGACCCCGGTTGATTAGAAATGACGCATCAATGCTACAGAAGCTTTAACTTACAGAGTAGAATTGAGTTACCCAGAATCTATCCAGTAGAATTTCAAACTGGTATCAAATCGGCATACGGTGTAGCTAATTGAATCACAACATGTTCTTTCATATGCTCATAGCTCATAATACAAAATAAGCCACAGTATACTGACTCGGCCGAGAATCCCAGACCCAAGGTATACATTATGCAATACATCAACACGGAAGACAAATGCCTCTCTCTCGGCATGACACTATACCAACTTTTTCTCGCAACGCCCGCCAGAAAGATGTATGGATGGAATGAAGACAGGAAAGAAGAAGAAATCGGAAAGCAGACAAACAGACGCAATCTACCATCTACCATCCGCGCTTGGCCAGCTTGTCGGCCTCCTGCATCTGCGAGACGTTGATGCCAACCATGGCCTCGCCCAGACCCTCGCTGACCTCCGCGAGGACCTTGGGGTCCTTGTAGTGAGTGACGGCCTGGACGATGGCCTTGGCGCGCTGCTTCGCGTCGCCCGACTTGAAGATACCGGATCCGACGAACACTCCGTCACAGCCCAGCTGCATCATGAGAGCGGCGTCGGCGGGAGTGGCAACGCCACCGGCGGCGAAGTTGACCACGGGCAGACGGCCCTTCTCGGCGGTCTGGCGCAGCAACTCGTAGGGGGCCTCCAGCTCGCGAGCAAAGGCGCGCAGCTCGGGCTCGGGGTCGGGGGAAGACTGGAGGATGGCGCGAGCGCGGGCAACTTGGGCGTTGACGGTGCGCATGTGCTTGACGGCCTCGACGACATCTCCGGTACCAGCCTCACCCTTGGTGCGGATCATGGCCGCACCCTCGGAGATACGGCGGAGGGCCTCGCCCAGGTTGCGGCAGCCGCAGACGAAGGGAGCCTTAAAGTTGTGCTTGGTGACGTGGTAGACGTCGTCGGCGGGGGTCAGGACTTCGGATTCGTCAATGTAGTCGATGCCAATGGCCTCGAGGATCTAAAGGACAAGAAATCGTCAGCTTCTCATATCCAGGCCCAGAGTGGCAATTGAGACGTACCTGGCATTCAACGAAGTGGCCAATACGGGCCTTAGCCATGACGGGGATGGTGACGGACTTCATGATGTCCTTGATCATGCTGGGGTCGGACATGCGGGCCACGCCACCCTCAACTCTGATATCAGCAGGGACACGCTCGAGGGCCATGACGGCGGCGGCACCGGCCTCCTCAGCAATGCGGGCCTACAGGAAAGATGACTGTTAGTATCGCAAGTCCTGCCGATCATATCGATCATTGATTGAGCGCATACCTGTTCCGCATTGACAACGTCCATGATCACGCCACCCTTCAACATCTGGGCCAAGCCGGCCTTGACGGTAAAGTCATTGGAAGCAACGTTCTGCTGAACAGCCATTGTGAAGAGTAATTGAGCGAAGCGGGGTGCTAGTAAAGGTCTAGGAAAGAGCGAAGGGAGGGGAACGGACGGGGAGTATGTACAGGGAAGCAAGTGTGGGGGAGGACGAGAGGGGACAGAGATTGAATTTAAAAGGTTGCCCCGTGAGTCACGGAGAGTCGGAATCCGATAAGGAAAGGGAATGGCAAACGTCTGCCTGAGGAAAGAGGATTCCCCGCCGACTTTTCCCAGCGGTTGTTCCGCCCGCGGAGTGCGTAGCCAATCCGAGCGTCGGTGTCCCTCCATTGCCCGCGCCTTGTGTCGCCGCTTTCCCGCGGGTGCCCCTCAGGCCGTCAGGCATTCAGGCACCCAGGCACAATCTTGTCAGGTATCATGCGGTATTGTCGAGTATCCGGTATTGTTCCGTATGGTCCTACTGAGGTGGTCATTTACATATCCATCCATAGATACCTAGGTAGATATACCTAGATATACCTAGGTATCAGAGATCCTTTGAGTTGACTCTATGCCTGAGGGCAAGACGTCCTGATTCAAGCGGCATATGATCGCCTGCTTATCAACGGTGTCAAGCGGGTCCTTCACTACAGCCTGCACGTCAAGGTCGCTGAGGCCTGGCTCGTAGGCATCATAACTAGCTGAACCGAATAGATACACCCCGACTAGCTGGTCTTTCAGGTGATCAGTAAGACGCTTGACCATTTCCTCCAGGTAAGCTTCCACCTCTTCTGGCAGTTTGTTCGCCATTGTGGTCTACTCTGATTTAGCTTTGCCAGCGCTGAATTGCAAGCTAAGACTTTTTGAATATGGTAGGAGGACTTTGGCTGGAGGGTGTAGTGGAGTTGAGTTGTACGGGATGTAAACAACTGCCTAGAAGCCTAGGCATCTGACCGCCCCGTGACGTCATTTACCTACGACCTACCTCCGCATACCACCGTCTTCTCCAACTCCAGCAAGCAACGACCAGCTTCATATCTCCCTGCACATAGCCCAATTGCATCCAACACACTTCAATCAGCCTGCTACTATCACCAATCATTTACCCACCGCAAAACAATCTCAAAATGACCCTCCTCATATCCCGCACCTCCGCCATCCTCAGTGTCGGCCTCGGCCTCGGCCTTTCCCTATCTCCCTCCTCCCCATTCCGCTCCACCCCGATCCAATGCCAATACACGGCACCGTATCCACAGACCACGGCATCCACCGAATCCGGCTGGGCCATCGACGACCAGGACCCTCTCCTGCGGAAGCAAGGCACCACGGGCCCGGCCAGTGGCATCTTCACGGCGTCGACCATGCGCCAGGTCAGTTTGGGGAGCGTGCTGGGTCTCGTGGCAGGTGTGGGATTGCGGGCGTTTTCGAAGGCCCTGGTGGTGCTGTTGGGTATGGGTCTTGTTGTGGTTGAGGTATGTGCTTTCTTTGCTTCTGTCCTGTTCTCGTCCCTTGCCCTATGGTAGTTAGGTTGGCTCTTTTGAGGGCGTGAGTGCTGATTGGATTTCGTATACATAGTGGGCGGCTGCCAAGGGGTACAATATTCTCCCCCTTCAGAAGATGCAGAAATATGTGAAGGGAGTGGATTTGCAGAAGGCTGTGTCGAGGCAGATTCCGTTTAAGCTGAGCTTTGGGGCGACGATGGCGCTAGCGGCCTTTGCGCAGTTTTGATTCACGGGTTTATACGTTGGAGTTGGGATACTAGGTACTTGGTTTAGAAAGAAATGGAGGTGTTGTATATAGATGGACTGTACACCAAAATCAAACGAAATATTACATTTTATATTCGGTAGCGACAGCTCATAATTGACGGTTATATAGTCGGTACACTGTTATACAAAGGGGTATCATCAAGTCATGCAATTGCACCAATCAAGCCAACACGAGATCTTCTAGAATGCCCTCCATCTCTTCGCGCGACAGGGGCACCCCCAGAAGCTCCATTCCGCTCGTGTCCATCCGAGACGTGATCATCTGGTGGTCGTGGAATTCCTTCAGCAAAGTCCGGAACATCATCTCGGACGAGGCGATGAATTCCTCCGAGGCCTTCTGGTAGAGCATGCGGAAGTCGATGCCGGTCTCTTCGCGGCCTCCGCCCTGCCGTTCCTCGGCGTAATGGCCGCCGTCGATCTCGTCGTCCGATTGGTGTCCGTCGTCCATGACGGTCAGGAGCTCGGTCAAGAGCACGCGGTACAGGTTGCGCGCATTCTCTGGCAAACTTTTGAGCACGAACTCGACACCTTCCTTGCCGCCAATGCGTCGGCCCTTGCGGCCCAGAAGACCGTGGACCTCCTCCACGACGTCGAACTCGCCGTCAAAGGATCCAAAGGTAGTGCAGTCGTGGAAAATGTAGTTGAACTGATCCCGCAGACTGATGTCCCACATCAACAAGAAATTGGGGGTGTCGGCAGTCACCAGAAGATTGATCTTCGGTGTCACGGCCAATCGCGCAAGGAGAGCTTGGTTGGCCGCTCGTCGGAAGGAAGGCGCATCGATTGAGTTAATGAGCACCGTGATCGGTTTGCGAGAGGGCTGCGACTTCAGAACGGATTGCAGCAATTCCAAAACCTCCACTGGCTGAGACCCCATTTTAGAGGGGATGTCAGCCCCAAGAACCGCCGTGACAATCGTAGCAAATATCGATCGAATGGAGACATTCGGCGTGTGGCCGTTGACGATGACAATGGAGGGTGGATCGTCGCTGTATTTGTGGTGAACCCAATCGGCAAACCCCTGCACCAGCTCGCGCTTGCAACCGTACCCATACAGACAGATATTGAAGCCCTGGTCGAACTCGAAGTTCCATTGCGGAAAGGACCGACAATGCAGGTCGAACAAGAAAGACTTCTCCTTCTTGAAGGGATCCACATATTGCGACAATTTCTCGAAGTATTCCTCATGCGTTAGCAGCGGCACTTTGTTGAAGTTGTTATTGGACGTCCGCGGGGGACCAGCGCGATTCTGGAAAAAGTAGCGCTCGTGAGCAGGCAGCTCTCCCTCCGGCGTAGGAGACCGCTTGTTTTTCGCGCCTTTCGGTCGTCCTGCTCGGCGCTTTGGGGTCGCCGCCGTCTTCTTGCCAGTCGGGGCGTCCGCGTCGGCCTCGACCGAGTCAACCACATCTCTGCCCCCCTCGGCAGGTGTCTCCCGCCCTTCATTCTCCTCTTCCAAGATCTCCTCCGCTAAACGGTCTCCCCCGTCCCAAATGTCTTCTTCGTCCTGCTCGAGGAGCAGACGCGCGCTTTTCTTCTTCGCAGATCGATCGGCATTCTTGACTCTCGATGGCGTCGGGGCAGCCTTCTCCTTCGTCGGAGTCGAAAAGAGAGCCTTTGCCTTAGACTTGTGCGTGGGTGTCCTCAGTCCGGATTCCTTCAAAGCCGCTGGCGTCGACGCCGTCGCTTTCTTAGGGGTCGATTTCTGGGGCGTGGATTTCATCCGCTTCACCGGCGTCGACTCGACCGGATCCTCATCGTTCGCGCTTCCATTTGTGGCGCCATTAAGTTTTACCGTTCTCTGTCTCTTCGGCGTCGAGACAGGACGCTCGTCATCTGAATCTGGTTGCTTCCGTTTCATTTCAGTAAGTTATGCCTCGAACGGAGGGTCATCGGTGAAAGGGTCGACACGCGCAGAGTGAGAAATACCATTCAGACAGGACAGTCGCTCGTAATCGCTAGATTTGGAAAAACAGGACGCAAGGGCGTAGACAGGGAGAGCGGCGGTGGAATGTTGATCTCTCGTGGCTTTGCTTTCTTTTGTTTAACCACGGCGCGGCTGGGCCGACTGTTTCTCCGAGTCCCGCGGTATCGGCGAGGCGGTCGAGGAAGAGAGAGGGCGACTGCGGCATTTCCTCCTCTCCACTCAACGCCTTTGATAAAGAACGACTCGACGGGTTTTAGGCTTTCAGGTTCTGCGGCAGTACTCTCTAGTGGGCGATCTTGATCCTCCACAGAGTCTGAAAAGGAGTCGGCGTGAGTCAGTCAATCCTTCGCTTCTGACTCATTTCCCCGGTTTATCGAGCTAGCTCAGGTACGGAGAACTATATCTATACCTCGCACCAGCTCTCGACCCGGACTGCCACCCAACTCCTTTTGTGATATCTATTGATCTAACAATTCTTCTCGCCTAGCAGAATCTTCTTATTGCCTATCCCGCCCAACCTGCAGCCACCATGGCGACCTTCGCCAGGATGATGAAGGGCCAAGTGCGCAATTATTCCGCACCGCTGGACATGGCCATTCCTGCCGCCAAACAGAAATACATCCCCTCCTCCGGAACCTACCCCAAGGGATTCAGCGTCTCGGGAACCCACGTGGGCGTGAAAGCTTCCAACACCAAGTTCCCTGACTTGGCCCTCATCTCCTCCGAGACGCCGTGTTCGGCGGCCGCGGTGTTCACCACCAACAAGTTCCAGGCGGCCCCCGTTCAAGTGAGTCGGGATATCCTCAAGAACCGCCAGGGACAGGGAATTCAGTCTGTGGTGATCAACTCGGGCTGCGCCAATGCCGTGACTGGCAAAGGCGGCTTGGAAGATGCTGTGAGCATGGGCAAGACGGTAGACGAGTGTAATGGTCTCCACGAGCCTAGTACTCTTGTCATGAGCACCGGAGTCATTGGACAGCGGTATGTTCGCGCCCATGAACGCCCTCAATTCTCAACTTGAGACCGATTGCTAACACTTAGCTCGCCAGTCTTCCCATCTCCAAGATCCTTGACAAGATCCCCACCGGTCACGCCAACCTCTCCTCCACCCACGATGCCTGGCTCTCCACTGCCCGTGCCATCTGCACCACCGATACCTTCCCCAAGCTTCTGTCCCGCACCTTTACGCTTCCCTCCTCGCCCGGGCGCACCTACAGCCTCGCCGGCATGACCAAGGGAGCCGGTATGATCCACCCGAACATGGCCACCCTGCTGGGCGTTCTCTGCACCGACGCCCCCGTCGAACCGTCCGCCCTGCAGTCCCTGCTGAAACACTCCATCTCGCGCTCCTTCAACTCGATCTCCATCGACGGCGACACCAGCACCAACGACACGATCGCCATCCTAGCCAACGGCGCCGCTGGCGGAGCTCCCATCAGCTCCTCCTCGTCGAACGACTACGCCGCCATGCAGGAGGTGCTCACCTCGTTCTCGCAGTCCCTGTCGCAGCTCGTCGTGCGTGACGGCGAAGGCGCCACCAAGTTCGTGACGGTGCGCGTGCAGAACTCGCCCGACTATGAATCCGCCCGCCTCATCGCCTCCACCATCGCTCGGTCCCCGCTCGTCAAGACGGCCCTGTACGGCAAGGACGCCAACTGGGGCCGCATCCTCTGCGCTATCGGATACACGCAGGGCGTCGCACCCGGAACCGTCGTCCCCGAGCAGACCAGCGTCAGCTTCAAGCCCGTCGACGGCAGCCCCATCCTGAAGCTTCTTGTCAACGGCGAGCCTGAGCAGGTCGACGAGGAGCGCGCTAGTGTCATCCTCCAGGAAGAGGATCTGGAGATTGTGGTGGACCTGGGCGGTGGTGAGAAGGGCCAGCAGGGTCTGGGAGGTGAAGAGGCGGTGTACTGGTTCTGCGATTTCAGTCATGAATACGTGACGATCAACGGCGATTATCGCACCTAAACTGCCTCGATATCCTCCTGCCTTGCCTTATCCAAATCAACAGCACATCTGCTGCTGTATTGGTAACAAAAACAAACAAAAGATAACTCAATCTGCAGAGCAGGTTTCTCGGGAATATCTTGAATATGCCTAAATAAATAGATATCTACCTATTATTAATATTTAAATCTCACCATGTACGTAATGACTATTAACCCAATAAACCAATAACATCCAGCCCAACTCCTACCCACCCAAGGTATCTAGTATCATTAACAAGCAAAGAAAGGTCACCATAATTCAGTATCTCCCTCCCCTACCGAAAACCCATTCATAACTGCATTCCATTCGGGTAGAAACGGGATCTCGGACATGGAGAAATCAACCCCTGAGAAGATATTCGGATTACTGCTCGGGTTGTCGGTGAGGAATGTATGCTCTTCTTGGAAGGAGGTTAGTTCTGGAGGATGGGAATGAGAATGAGGGTGAGGAAGAAGATGAGGAAGTTGATGAGGAGACGAAGACACGACTGCCTCTGGCACATTCGTATGGGCATGTCCAACGTATGACGAGTTCTCAACGACGAGCGGCTGCAGTTGTACATGTCCTTGCTGGTACATGTGACGGATCTCGTGGTCTCCATCTCCCTCGCCATCGCCATCAATCTCATTAGATGACGGCCTAGATTGAGACCGGGACCTCGCACGTCGCAACGACAAAGCCTGGGCACGAAGCAAAGTGAGACATTTCCAGATACTCCCCTGTCCCTGGGCCTGTTGCGTCTGTCCCTGTCCAGAATATGCGCCATTTGATGCCGAATCAGACGAAACGCCCTCTCCGTCTAGACTCATCGTGACCGGAAACACAGCGTCAATTAACTTCCACGCCCTTTCGGTGTCTGTTCCGCTCGGACAAGAGCACAGACAGCGCAGCACGTACGCGAGCGCATACCACGGCGTGTACGTCGTGAAGAGCCATCTGAAGCCATCGGAGAAGCTACTTTTCAGGAGAGAGTTGCTTTCCATGCTTTCGCAGGCGAGACGGAATGAGGGTCTGAATCCGTCGGTGTTGGATGTGTCGGTCGGATGAGGTTTAGGATTCCCGGGCCCGTTCCCGTTCTGCATCTGCATGCTGATCTCCTCGCGCAGTGTCAGCATGAATTCCATTTTCCTTCGCGCCGTGATGAAATGCTGCATGGCGACGCGGGCGAGGGTATCTTGTCTTGGTTCCCCTCCTGCTGCTGCTGCTGCTGCTGCTGGTGATGCCTTGTGTCTAGGTCTGGGTGGGAATGAGATGCCGTGTTTCCGGGCGACGAGCTGCGAGCGATCGTGGATCAATTTTCGCTTCGCGGTGATGTCGGGCAGTGCGTCTGCGGAGAAAGGTTCCCGGGTGCCGAGAATGGGGTTAATGAGTTGGCAGGACTCGGTCTGGATCAGAAAGAAGGACATTTCTGTCCAGCCGGTTGTTTCGGGGGGGAGTTGGGTCATGGTCGGGAAGAGTTGATGGTCGTCAATGTTCAGAGGCAGTCGGAGGTTGCGGTTAGGAGCGTCCAGCGTCAGCTCGAAGCCTTGGTCTTCGGGCGCGCGGGAATCGAGCACGCATAGATGCCACCAGAGACGGAGACGCATCTCGGTGTCGAATGGGCTCAGCTGGAGGTCTGCGCCGTCGCGATGGAGTCCCAGTGACTGGGCGAGTCGGATGGCTAGGCCGTTGAGGACCCATGAGCTGCGTCCGGTTTCGTGGACGCGTAGACACGTCTGGACGTATAGGGCGTGGTTAGCTAGGCTCCAAAGCACATATTTCTTAATCATTGGAGTGGTTTCACATACTGTAAAGATCGCCAGAGCTTGTAACGCCGTCATCTCCGGCTGGTTCATCACATCGGTTGCTATGAGAAGTCTGTCCAAGGCAGTCTTGTAGCGCTTCAGGAGAACGGATCTCTCCTCCACCGAAAGTTCAGGTTCGCCGTGGAACCCTAGAGCCGTGATGGCGGCGAAATAGATCGCAAAGGTCAATGCCACCATGGACGATCCTGCTGATTTGGGATCGAGGATCGTTGCTATCACGGCAGATTGGGTGGTCGGTATATGCAAGATCTTGAGAACGGGATCCACAGACTTCACATACACGGACCAAAGTCGCAGGGCCAGCTGCGAATCCGGATAGAATTCGAGCAAGCCGGACGAGGTGCTCGTTGGGGGTCTAGGCTGCGCGGCTAACCTGGGAGTACTTGCTTGTTGCAGTTGCGAGGGCTCTCTTTCAGGGCCGGACGCAGGTGTCATTTTCATTCTTTGGTCCTGCTTGATGCATTAGAAGGGTGATCCAAGTTCTAACAGGTAACTTGCAATGCAAATATAGAAAAGTAGGACTTACATCCTGAAGCAAGTCCTTGATATTCGAATTATTCACATACTGCACCATCTGCCCATCATTCAACAACAGCTCCCAGGACATATGAGAGCGTTGCGCCGGCGAAGGCCGATGGCTTATGGCATCTTGTCGCCCTTGATCCTCGGAGTCACCGCTGGTCGCCACGCCAGGGCCTCTGTTCTCACAGAGATACGCAAGAATAGATTCTACGCGCTCCAGGCGGTCAGCAATGCCTTGCAGAGAGGGACTCTTTTGTTCGCTGCTCGGATAGACGCAGGTACAGCCCGCCCTGGCGCAGTTCGTGCACGGCACGCCGCGGTCACAGCGGACCTTGCGGCGATGGCAGCCCAGACAGGATCGGGCGTCTATTCTGCGATTTCTAGCGTGATCCGAAACGGTCTTTTGTATTTTTGGCATCTTGAATTCGAAGCATCATCAATTGGACAGGTTGATGAAGAAAAGCAATCCCCGGTTGAGGTCGAGGAAGATGACGGAGTGTTGTAGCCGAGATCTCCGCCGCCACTTTGTATATCTTCGGCGATCTCGGCCACACACCCCGAGCACATCCTCGCGTCGATGAGATCGTCAACGTCGATAGATTTTTCTTCGGAGGTGGACCACCGCAGCTCCGAATTCGAATCTGATAGCACTTTGTATTTATATTGCCCATCATGGCCCTAAGCAAGGGATGTCAGGATCCATGGCAAACGCTAGTCCAAAATGACCGAATCGCACTCTTCAGAATCAGACGACATCTCAAATGTCCAGGAGCCAACTCCCTCGCAGCCCGAGTTCCGTGAAGGAGGATATGGCTGGGTCTGCGTGGCCTGCACATTCCTGATCAATGCCCATACGTGGGGCATCAACGCTGTACGAAGCCCTTCCCTTCCTCTTCACCCACCCTTAGCCTAACATGTAACCCTAGGCCTACGGAGTCTTCCTCTCCTACTACCTCTCCACCGACATATTTCCTGGCACCACTGCCCTCGAATATGCCTTTGTCGGCGGCCTCAGCATCTCCTGCGCGATGTTCATCGCCCCTTTAGCTACCTTCCTCAGCCAACGCATCTCCACGCGCTTCGTGCTCAACCTCGGCACAATCCTCGAGGCCGTGTCACTCATCACCACGTCCTTCGTGAAGACAGACTGGCAGCTCTTCCTCTCGCAAGGAATCTGCTTCGGTATCGGCATGGGCCTCTGCTTCTGCGGCTCCGTGGGGGTCGCGTCGTACTGGTTCCGGAGGAAACGGAGCCTGGTGAATGGCATTGCATCCGCGGGTTCGGGCATCGGGGGTCTTGTATACTCCCTCGCTGTGGGAAAGATGATTCCTCAAATGGGATTTCCCTGGGCGATGCGCGTGCTGGGTATTCTGGCTTTTGTGGTGAATGTGGTGTGTGCGAATTTGATGAGGATTCCCTCCACTACCCCAACCTCTCCTCCCTCTACTACCACCAAAGAAATTAGGGAGAAGGAGAAGGAAGAAAAGAAAGCTAGAAACCTACCCCATCTCCCTCCCTTCCTCCTAAACATCGACTACCACCTCCTCCTCGGCTGGGCTTTCCTCAGCGGCCTGGGCTACGTGACCCTCCTATTCAGCATGTCCGCGTACTCCGTCGCCATCGGCCTCACGCACTCACAGGGCAGTTTAGCCAGCGCACTGCTGAATCTCGGGCAAGCACTGGGCCGACCAGCCGTGGGACTCGTCAGCGACAAGGCCGGACGAATGCGCACGGCGTTCGCGGCGGCGCTGCTCTCAGGGATCCTGCCGCTGGTGGTCTGGATCTTTGCGGACGGGGTCGGAGTCACGTATTTCTTTGCGATCGCGGTGGGGTTGTTCGCGGGGACGTTTCTGGCCGCTGCGGCGCCGTTGGTGGCGGAGGTGGTGGGCATCCAGCAGTTGGGGACGGCGCTGGGGCTGTTTTGGTTCGTGTTGGGCCCGCCGACGGCTGTGGCGGAGGCCATTGCGGTGCAGTTGCGGGATGAGGATGGCCGGTCGAAGCCGTATCTGCGAGTGCAGCTGTTTGTGGGTTGTATGTATCTGGGATCGGCGGGTTGTTTGGCGTGTTTAGGGCTGAGGATGAGGAAGAAGAGGCAGGAAGCTACGGATGAAAAGTCGGGGAGATAGATAGATCTGATCAACCCGCCTGAGCAAAACTACGCTAGACGAATCATGTCATAGAAAAACAATCACCGACAATGAAATTAGAATTTTCGTGCCTTTTTCAGATATAAAAAAAATATGGTTACAAACCAGGTTGGTGCTATGTACAGCTGCGGCCGCACTTTTCCCGACGGAAGACACGCCGTCAACTTCCAAGTCCCCATTTTCTGCCAACATGCAAAGAGATCGGACCACAACAGTGCACCACCCGGAATTGAACGTTTAAAAAGATAACAAACCAAAACCCCTCGTTCTTCTCACTCGTACGAACTCATCAAGAAGACAGAGAAGTCCCTGCTTAGTTGCCGGGAACCAGGCCCTTGAGACCTCCTCCGATGTCGCCTTCACGGGCGGCAATTTCAAAGTATCCGTATATAATACTAGAGGCAATGTTAGTCAGGTGGGTGAAAAATCGATAGATCAGATCAACTTACGTCACGGCAAGGAGAATACCGGTACCGCTGCCCAGGGCACCGAGAAGGTCCGAGGCGACGGAGAGAGCACCGATGCAGGCACCACCGAAAGCGGCGGCGGTAGGGATAACACGCTTGAGCTCCTTGTACATGCTCTGCTCACGGTGGCCGGCCATCACGAGTCCCTGGTCCTTGAGCTGCTTGGCAACGTCACGGGGAGCGGAGCCGGAGACCTCGATCCAGGTCTTGGAGAAGAGAGCACAGGCCACCAGCATGAAGGTGATGTAGACGGCGGTGTGGATGGGGTCGAGGAGAGACTCCTTGAAGTTGAGGGGAGGAGACATATAGTAGGCGATACCCGAAGACGCGTGCAGCTGGGCGGATCCCTCGCGGGGCTCCCAGACTCCGAGGAGCTTGACAAGGATGTTGTCCGAGAAGCGCGAGTACAGCATCTGACTGATCAGGAAGATGTTGGAGCACAGAGCGGACTGCAGCATGATGGGCATGTTGGAGGTGTAGAAGAGACGGACGGGGTAGGAGCCGCGCATTCCACGCTGGCGCGAGGACTTGACAGGGATCTCCACGCGGAAGCCTTGCAGGTAGATGACAGCGGCGAAGACCAGGAGAGTGGCCAGCAGGTTCATGACGTTGGGGAGGTTCTGGCGGTAGAAGGCCTCACGCAGAGCACGCTGCTTGTCGGACCAGGTCAACAGAAGGTGGAACAGGGCGATGATGGCACCCTCGAACTCGGGGCCACGGCCGGTGTTGATGGTCGTGGGGGAGAACGCCTTCCAGACGATGGATTCACAGATGTTGGTGGCAATGAACAGGGAGATACCACTGCCCAGGCCGTATCCCTTCTGGAGCAGCTCGTCCAGCAGGATGACAACCAGACCGGCAACGACCAGCTGGACGATCAGCAGAACACAGATACCAGCGCCAAGGTCGCTGGGCTGGCCATAGAGACCAGTCAGGACGTAAACACAGGCCTGACCGAAGGAGAGGATGATAGCGAAGAGCTTCTGAGCGGTCTGGTAGAGCTCACGGTCGGTCTTGAGGTCCAGGTTGACGTCAATGAGGTGGGTACCAGCGAGGAGCTATCAGAGAAAGCCTGTTAGACAGATCCAGAAGAGGCCGAAGCCAAAAAAGACACGTGCCAACCTACCTGGAAAACCATGCCGGAGGAGATGATGGGGGTGATACCCAATTCCATCAAAGTACCCCGGTTACTGGCCAGCATCATACGCAGCCAGTACAGAGGATCCGAGGTGTCGGAGGAGACAATGCCGTACAGAGGCATCTGACTCATGACCAAGAAGATCAACAAGGTCAACTAGAGGTATCTATCAGTCTTGAGGTCCATCTTCTGCGACTCGACCGAAGCGACGTACCCCCGTCCACATCAACTTCTGGTTGAAGGGAACCTTAGTTTCCGGGGCTGCCACCTCCGGGAGGAGGGGCGTAAAAGGTTTAATCAGGTCGAGGAATCGGACTAGACGTGGGAATCAGTATTTGTCGATCCATTGAGGGTATATTGAAGACGCCGTCGCGAAGATATTTTGCGACCGCGTGCAGAGGAACTCACGGCCGCTCATTGTGACTGTCCACAGCCCCAGCTGCAAGAATTAGGGGGGGAAGATTAAAAAAGGAAATAGGCTGGAAACAACAACCAGCTAAAGGAGCGAAGATGAAGTCAAGAAGAAAAAAGAAGATGGGGGGGAAAAGAACAAGAGACGAAGAGAAGAACGGGGAAGGAGGAGAAAGGGACGAGTTCGGGTGTGAACGAGTTGCTCAGTCAGAGACGAGGGAAAGTCGCCTCGCTGGCCTTCCCAGCCGGCGCTAACCCGTTGAGGCCACTTGGTCGCTTGCCCCCGTGACTTTCTCCGCTGAACGGCATAGGTGGTCTTCTCTAGAGTATAGAACACTAGAATTCCAGTTCTTTCGATGAAGTGTTTATAAAAATAATACAGGGCCATTGTCACTATGTCTCATTGTATTTCCATATAGACTATCCTTCTAGGACTGAGGTATCACATTACAAAACTTCCAGTCGTCAAACCAATCAAGATCAAGCAGAATATGTCCTCGTTACAAAACAAAAGAAATCGGATCAACCATCTCTATGTAGACGGTATAGATGTTTGGTCATAATCAACACAAACATGAGTGCAGGGATTAAGGTCACGGGCCGACCAGGCAAAGACAGTCGTCGATGACCATCTCAAGCTCGCCCAGTCGGTCCTTGAGTCCCTTGTTCTCCTCCTTCAGGATGCCCATGACGCTCCAAGCTTCCGATGCTGGAACACCATGGCAGATCTGACACTTGGATGAATTCCACGAGCTGGTAATACCCGTGGAAGCCAAGCCTTTGAGCACGCGATCGTACGCCGACGGTCGCGGAGTGGAGGAGGGAGTAGACGCGGGAGTAGGCTTAAGTTCTTTTTGACTCTGAACGGGGGTAGTAGTAGGGGTGGAGAGCGTGACTTGGGATATATTGGGAGAAGGGGCGACGGTTGACGCAGGGGATTCAACACCCTCGCGACGCGAGAACACGCTCTCGGACAGGCTCTCGTCGCCAGAGTCGAAGCCCGAATCGCTGGTAAAGGTGGCGTTGCTGGCGCGTTTCAAGCTCCGCTTGGGCGTCTGAAGGTCGCCGCCCAGATCGGAGCTCTCGTCGTCGCTAGATCGGATCAACATCACGCTCCGTCGACGCGCCTCGTCCTCTCGGCGCCGCATCTCCCGTTCCTGCTCCAGCTCCTCGGCCATGGCTTTCACGGCCTTCTCCTGCTGGAGTACCTTTTCGGCCATGCCGTCCAGTTGAACCTTGAGGTGTCCCACTCGCGTTCGGGTTTCCTCCAGTTCTTCTTGCTTTTCATTCTTGTCGGCCAGCGCTTCATGCAGAGCGAACGTCCGTTGCTTGTAGGCCGCCTGCAGCCGTCTGATCACGCTATCTGCGTTGTTGCGCAGAGCATCGAACGCCTCCTGGTCATTGAGACCGCCCGACGTGGGCGGAAACAGCGCCGCCGTGATATCCATATTCAGAAATTCATCTTCGGCGGGCTCGGGGAGGTCCGTTCTACTCTCCTCCTGGCGCTTCAACCCGAAGAAGGAGAACGGGTTCGAAGATGTTACCTGCTTAAGGGGCGACGGGGCAGTCATGCGCTTCTGCGCCCGACTCGTGGGGACGGTAGGAGTGCTCGGGGAGCTGTACATGTTTGCTGGTGTTTCCGACGATTCCTGATCCGTTGGGGGATACACGACTCCTAGGCTGACCGGCTGCGACTTGCCCTGAAACCAACCCGATATCAATTTGGCGCCCTCCTCGAATTTCCTGCGGGGACCGTTCTCTGTCGACAAGCTGGAGGTTTTATCCAAGTCTTCGAAAGTTTTGGGCTGGTCTGCAAAGAGCTGTCGGGCGGGCAGATGGGGCGTCTGGCGTCGAATGATCTCGGTATTGGCTCGTCGATGAAAGGAGGGGTTTGGGAAAGACGGCTTGTCTGGAGGTGGAGATAATGCATCCGAGCTCTGTACTAACAACGCTGCAGGGATGTCGCGGCGGGACAGGCGATGATCATCGTAGGGTTGGTGACTGTCCTCGGGGTCCGGCGGCGGAGAGAGGATAGTCGACGAAGGTTTGAGGTGCTCAATGGCCGGTGCGAGGGGAGTTGAAGGGTGATCAAGGTCTTGCAGCATTGTTGTCGGTTTGGTAAAGGGGGGTGGAGGCGTGACGACACACGGGGAGGAAAAGGGATGGGATTGGAATGGTTGTAGGGATGGTGACCACTTGGGCAAGGACTGGAATGCCACGTCGAATGGTCGTCCAATCCAAGAAGCCCACGGAGGATAGTTGGGTGGGAATTAGGAGAAAAGGAGGAATGGAATTGGGTCACTCCCTAATAGTTCGGCCCTTTCTGTTCCTCCCTTCTTGGTAGTGGGTTTTTTTTGCTTTTTTTTTATTTTATTTCTTTTGTCGGACAGTTCCGATTTGGGGGGGCCGAGGGAGGTAGAGAATTGGTAAGACAACTGGATATTGATTGCTTGCTGGATGGTTTGATAGTTTGATTGATTGATTGATTGACGGAAGGAGGAGGGGGGAGGGGGAAGTGGCGTGTAATAGCTCAGGAGGAGAAGCTTAGGAAAGGAGACCGAGGGATAAGTCCAGTGTTGAGATCAAGACGAGGGAGTCTGGAATACTTTGGAGCAATTCAACGGCGCGACGATTAATCAGGAGTAGCTCGCCCGCACGTGCTCCTGACCGTATAATGTAGAAGTACTCCGTAGTTACTCCGTCGAAATGAGAAACCCAAGGGAAACACAAGTTTGACACTCTGACACTTCTCGTCTTAGACACTTAGATGCATGACAGAACGATCAGATTAGCGAAGGGGAAAAAGAAACCAGACCGATGTTTCTACTGCATGACAGACTCGAAAATCCGAAGGCTGGTCTACATATACGGGGCGTGTCCGTCAATCATCGCTCCGCAAAAAAAGCGGTGGCTGAACCGGAAGAGCAACGGGAAACCGTGAGGAAAGCAATGCTCCACCGTGACGAGGCGTCGCCCCAGTTGCCCTTTAGTTCCGCCCTCTCATCGCCTCTCACTTGCTCGTCCTTCTCCGGGGCAATTTATTCTTAGCAGTTTTGCCTCATGGCCCAGCTCCGATCGATTTTGAATTGTCGTTCTGACTTCATGTGGTTGGGTTGACGATCGACGTCATCTATTCTACCTTTTCGGTGCCTGTTGGGACGTGCCGTCAGGGGAATCAAGTGATGATTCTCACCGAGTATACTCCGGTGCACTCTAGGGTGTAGACAGGATGTCAGTAGTACTCAGTCCAGATCATCAACGGAATCAGGGGCCGAATCCATGGCTCTAGACCCTGCACAAGATGAAATTAACCCCGTTTCAACCCACTAATTAGCTCGGGGGTGATCCAGTCCTCCGGGAAATTACTGCAATCATTGGCCCCGTGGCAGATAACTAGTTAGAGTACAATCTGCTTAGATATCGAGCTGTCGTTACTCCATAATAGATTGTCTTCATTGGCCGGTAAGACAGGGGTAGATCACGTCGGTCTATGGAGTTGGAGATGGAGTCATGGTGCTGTGCTGAGTGCTGAGTGAGACAGTGAAACTGCATTACCCGTGGTTGGCAGCTGTCATATGCATTGCCTTCCTGTTGTATGTCCGTTATGACCTGAATACACTTGCAGCTATGCACTTGTGTCGTCTATTTCATACAGGCTCGGTATTTTCTGGCAGCTTAAACGGAGCTGTCGTGATCAGCCTCTGTCTCTACTTTGTTCATCTTCCTGCGAAACTTTTATTTCCTAGCCTACTATTCTGTTATGGCAGAGTATACTGCTTTGGTTTTGAACAGTAGCATATTCCCCGAGTAGTTCACTTCTTTATATTTATAATTCTCGTGGGACGGGAAGGCTGATGTGAGCAAAATATATCCAAGAACTCTTGGTAACGCTGCAAAGTTAACAAACATAACACTGCGAGTACCTGATCTCACAAAACTCTTTAATGAATAGCATTACACCTTTGCCAGTTAATGCATAGTGATTGTTGTGTTTATTGAGCTTTATCCTCTTCGCAGCATGTACAAGAATTATGTAATGTACAACTGAGGCGGTGAATGAAGCTTCGAGAGAGGATTATTCTGCCGTCTGCCGCCGAGCATCAACGGCGTCAAGTGTCAAGGAGACCTGGTATCATTCACCGGTGTCAAAGCGACCGCTCCGACTACAGTTCTCTTCGCATCTCAATGGTTTCTCCTTTTTAGAGTTTGAGATCAGATATCATCCCGAGCCCCCCCCCTCCGGTTTCCATTCGCACACCATGGCGCCGTCGGCCACCGACGATTTGAAGTTCCTGTCCAATGCTCTTGCGACACCAGAGCAACTGTCGAGCTCCTCGTCCTCCATCGACGGCGTCTCTCCCGACCTAGAGGCATCTATTCGATTTGCCGGTACCCAGCTGACACAAGCCGCGGGGGTTCTGTTGCGATTGTCGCAAGATATCATCGCCCAGGCCATCGTGACATTTACTCGCTTCTGGATCGGCCCTGAAGGAGGCAGTTTGCGCATCTACTCAGCGAAGGTATTTGATATCCGGTGTTGAAAAACGGACAGGAAAAGCAATCGCTAACACTTCACTCCTCCTACCACAGGATGTATCCGCCGCAGCACTCTACATGACCGCAAAACTATCCTTCCAACCCACCTCCCCTCGCTCCGTCTTGAACGTCTACACCTTCCTCCTCTCCAAAGATGCCTCGCCGCTGTGGTTCATCAATCCGGCCGGGTCGCCGTCCGAGAAACCCGCCCCTGAGACCTACTGCCTATCCGAAGGCGGCTACCAAAGCCAGCGACTGACCCTAATGCGCATTGAATCGATCATCCTGCGCACGTTAGGCTTCGACACCCACGTCGCTCTTTCTCACACCATCGCGTTGACATACCTTCAGACACTGGGCGTGTCGTCGACGGCCGTTGCGCGACGAGTCTTCGAGCATCTGAACGCGTCGCTGTTCTCGCCCCAGCTGGTGTACGTGACGCATCAGCCGAACGCGCTCGCCGTGTCGTCCATCTATCTCGCCGCGAGAGAGGAGGGGGTCAAGCTGGTGGACGGCGAGTGGTGGGAGGTCTTCGACGTGGACCGCGAGGAGCTCGGGTTCTTGGTCGTGGCGATGCGCAGTATAGAAGGGTTTGCGCGGGCCGAGAAGGAGAAGTGGTCGTCCAAGACGGTTCCCATGATTGTGGACGAGGTGGAGGCGGAGATCGAGAGGAGAAGGATGATGGAGGAGGGAGAGTGAGGATGAGTGTTTTTCGCATGTTTTTCGCATGTTTTCATGCCTACTACTGCTCAAGGTGTCTCAAGAGCTTATCTATCATGCTTGCTTGATACGAGCTGGAGCTGATGTCACCGGATCGCGGGAGGTGCCAACCAACCCGACCCTCAACTGTGCGATCCTGATCTTGGAAGTGGAGGATCTTGCACTGCTAGTGAAGGAGTCGCTCCCAGCGTCTTGTCTTCCAGCAGGCAACAACCTACTCACAAACAGACAGGAGTGAGTGTTCCAGACCACTGTAAATATACGTATTTAGCTTCCTACCTGTACATATTATACTATACAAGGGACCATATCGTCAAATACAAACCAACTTCACAAAAGCAAATTATTCACACAAATTCAAGCAGCCATGTATAATCCATATGAAATCAGCCACGTATCAGCCACAAAACATGACCGGGGCATGACTCAGAAGAATCAGGGGACCTTCCGGGAGTTGAAGGAGTTGAAGTAAGTCTCCGCCACATGATGTATGCAACCCCGCGTGCCCCAGGCAGAGACCGTCACCGCCCCCTCAACTGATAAGGACCGTTGATCAAGGTCAGCCTCCCTTCTTCTCCAACTCAACCATCCCACTTTAACATACGATTACTCATACTCATATTCATTATCCACTCTACGAAAGCAAGTACACACACACACACACAGAGAGAGAGAGAGAGAGGGTCCAAAGATGAACATCCTCCACTCCACACTCTCCACCTGGCGCGACCGCCTCGCCCCGGTCTCCCGTACCTCAACGTTCCGCAACACGGGACAAATCACGCCCGAAGAGTTCGTGCTGGCCGGCGACTACCTCGTCTATAAGTTTCCATCATGGGCGTGGGCCGACGCTTCCTCGCCCGCTAAGCGCGTATCGTATCTCCCCGAGGGGAAGCAGTTCCTGGTGACGCGCGGGGTCCCCTGTCATCGGCGGCTGAATGATAACTTCGCGGGGGATGCAGGCCACGACGATGAGATCGTCCGGGACATGTTGTCGGGCGGGGCCGGGGAGGATGATGACGATGGGTGGTTGAGGACGGGGGGCGGCGGGGACGCTGCCCATCGGGACAGGGAGACTCGGATTCCCGATGTGCGGACCGTCGATGAGGCGGGGAATATGGGCGAGAAGGAAGAGGAAGAGGAAGAGGAGATTCCCGATATGGAGGATGACGATGACGATGAGGAGGCGATTATTCGTGAGCCGGTGGGAGGGTCGGGGATGACGCAGTAAGCTTTCCTTTCTTTCTCCTGCTCACCTTCAAGGACATCTAGTTCCCATGACCTACTGGATAGAAGCTAATATGGGGGGAATGATTGATAGACCGACCCGCACCTACAACCTCTACATCACATACTCCAACTTCTACCGGACCCCGCGACTCTATCTCTCCGGATACCTGTCTCCCTCGGAACCCCTCCCCCCACCGCTCATGATGGAGGACATCGTCGGCGACTATAAAGACAAGACCGTGACGCTGGAAGACTTCCCGTGGTTCGACGGCAACGTCAAGATGGCCACCGTGCACCCCTGCCGCCACGCCTCGGTCATGAAAACCCTCCTCGACCGCGCCGACGCGGCGCTCAAGATCCGCTCCGAAAAGCTGAAGCAGGCGCAAGCTTCCTCCACGACATCCTCCGCCCCCGCCGCCGGAAGCGGCCTCGAAGGCCTAGTCGACAACGTCAAGGATCTGTCTTTGTCCGAACAGCAACAGCAGCAACAGCAGAGCGGCGCCGGCGGAGACGAATGGGAAGTTCTGCAGCACGACGAGGAAGACCAGGTAGCTATCCGGGTGGACCAGTATCTGGTTGTTTTCCTGAAATTTATCGCGAGTGTGACACCTGGTATTGAGCATGATTATACAATGGGTGTATAGGGTGTATGATTTTTTTTTTCGAAGCACCATACTCATACTCATACTCATACCCATAGCCAGGCAGCCCATGCGTCAGCGTTTAATAGTGATTTCACTTTTTTTTGGTCTCGTTTGTCCATTATTATCTTTTTTCTTTCCAAGGCGCAAAGGATATAGTAGGTAGGTAGGCAGCAAGTTAATTTTCTCACGATAGCATGACATGACATAACATGATATGAATAACATTCAATCATTACTATTCCGTAGTAGTTTCTATAGGCTATACATGAGATCTACAGCCCTGAAATACATCCTGTTCTCCCAGGCCCTCAAAGGTCTTTATGTAACCATCTAACTGCCAACCTAAATGATGGGCTGAACCACAACTAGTATCTCTCCTAGGAACATACATCCGTGATACAGGAACCGTACAACCTACTCATACCTGAGCAAAACCCGCCCGAGCGGATGAAAAATAGAAAGCGGTATATAAACCAAGTAATATTCATTTGTACCATATACTAGATAGCTATTAAATTAACCATGGAAACCAATCTGCAACAAAGAACTATGTAAATAAGACATGGAAGAAAGACCAGACATAAGTGAATGGTGATGATAAGACAATTGCCACCAAGGAGTCCTGCACAAGAAGTGAATGGAAAAAGAAAGGAAGAAAGAAGGTTCAAAAAGAGATACGGAAATGGGGGGAAATGTGGGTAATAATAACATAATAGAAGGTAAAAGGGGGGATGAATGGCTAGGTAGGTAGTAGGTAGGGTAGATGAACAAAGAGATAGGGAGGGAGGGGATTAGACAAAAGGGTAGATCGAATCAATCAAACAGGATTAAACTGGGACTAGGTATTGCAAACCATTTCAGTCTGATGAGTATTGGGGCTGATGGAGAGCTTCAAGAAGCGCATTGGCACGTATTGGCCAACTCGTACTCGGGCTCCGATTCCTGTTCCTGTTCCCGTGCTTGTTCTGATGCAGGCGCAGAAGCGGGTTCTTGTTCCGGTTGTGGCTCTGGCTGCTCTGACTGCTCTGGCTGCTCTGACTGCTCTGGCTGCTCTGGCTGCTCTGGTTGTTCTGGCTGCTCGGGCTCCGGCTGCGGTTGAGCTTCAAGCTCAGGAGCAGGGCATGCTTCAACGACGACGACTTCAGGCTCCGGCTCCGTCGGGGTCTCATGGACAGTAGGCTCAGGCTCAGGTTCAGGTTGGGGCTCAGGCTCGGGTTCCGGGGTAGGTTCAGGCTCAGGCTCAGGAGTTGGCTCCGGCTCGGGAGTAGGCTCAGGGCTAGGTTCAGAAGTAGGGCTAGGAGGAGGAGGAGACTCCGGCTCTTCAGGTGTCTGCGGGGGAGGGGTAGGCTCCGGCTGAGGCTCGGGTTCGGGCTCGGGTTCACTCTCCTCATAATGCGAGCTAAAGAAGTTTCCAAAGTTGACACTCGGACCATCAGGGGTACCAAAGGAAGTATCTGAGTTCGCCGTGGTTTCGGACGACATGTCCGAGTCACCACGGTTTTTGTTTTCATTGTAACTGTTGGAGCTGGAGCTACCGGTATGGAAGCCCGGACCGTCGGGGATGGAAAAGTCCCAGTTGAAGCCCTCTTGGGAGTCGCTGTTGAATTGTCTGGGAAGAAGAGCGTGGTTCTATAGATGGAGTTAGCTGGATGCTTTCTTTGCTGAGAGAGGACCTAGAAAAGAGAGAGGGGGTACCTTGGCGATTGGGGCTGATAGAACCGAGGCAGGACTGGCAGTTAAGAGGAGGCACAAGAGTGCTGAGATGTTCCTTGTGGAGTGCATTGTGTGCATGGGTAATAGAAATCTGAAGTTCCAAAGGAAAGTGGCTTGTCAACTCTGACTGAAAGTGTGATGTCCACTTAAAGATCGAGAGAATGTATGATAAGGAATGAGTGACTATGTAGTCAGGGAGTGAAGGAATGGATGGAATCTGAATGATAGATCGGAATGACAGAGATCAATGTCCTTTTATAACTGCTCAAGCTCGTCTCTGTAATCATAGCCAGGGCCTAGAGCCCTTTCCAGGGCGTATAGCCCTGTATACATCCTCCTAGGGACCTCATGCAAGGCCACGATAGGTAAAAAAGCCCCTATCGATACCCGATAGCGTTGCATGAGGCTGCAGGGATGCTCGTTCTAAGCCAGGAGCCCAGGGAGATAAGATGGATGCAGACTAATGCAAGGGTGACTCCGGACTATCCATGTCGCCAGGGAGAAGGACCCCAAAAGGAGTGCGCGCACAAACTTCGTTGTATTCTGTAAGCTACATATGGCTGTTTTCTGTTAAGAGGATGCATATCTTCATCGTTGGATCGTCAATCACAGTATCCACAACCCAGCGGGATACAAAAGCGCCTGTTCCTATATATCACAAAAGGTTCCAAAATAAGCCCATAAAACCCAACATGCACAGAAAAAAGAGTAGGTATATCTAAAACATCAACAGTAGATTCCTGAATAGATCATCACTGTATAGAAGTTATGCCAAAAACGATTGTTTCGCTAGGTATCGTTCCAGCTCGAGATCTCCAAAGGCCGTGCCAAAATTGGTGGTGCTTCTGAGTTTCAGCTCCGGTTCTTGCTCCCCAGAGTTTGAGGCGTCGGTCTCGGACTCTTTCGACTCCTCGGTTGGTCCAGACAACCCTAGAACGTGTCTCGCCTCGCCCAGGAGTTTTTGATCTAGCTCCTTGAGAAAGTCGTTGTCGTGCTCCTCGTCGTTCACTAGGGAGAGGGGCCCCTTCAGAGCCGGGTCGTCGGGCAGGTTGGCGAAATACGAATCGGAGTTTTCTGCAGGTTGCCGAAGCGCCCGCGGAGTAAGGGGTTCGTTCTCCTCCTTGATGGTGCCTTCAGTGGGTGAAGGCAGCTCCGTGTCCATATCCCGATCGATGACGGCCATGGGGGTGTGCCCAGCATCCCTGACAAGGTTTCTCTCAGGAGGTCCCAGCTCAGACAGTCGGAGCTTGAAACCGGGTTTGTTTTCAGCCTTCTGAGAGGCAGAGGGAGATGTCTCCCGAGAAAGCGGGGATGGAGGCGTCATCACACGGGCGAAGATTTCTGGCGGCAGCGCGGTGGATTTCAGCGTGATGCCATCCAATCTGCTGTCGAGCTTTTCAATCGGCACGGACATAGTAGATCCGGGCGTCGAGTCGGTCGCATGGGACCGGGGTGACAGCGCAAAGTCAAGGGAAGGGTTCGACAGGGTAGCTCCTTGCTCCGACAATGAGGTCTGACTGTCTACTAATTTCTCCGCCTCGGGAAAAACCCTGGTGGGTCGGGAGCCAGGGCTGGACCCCTCCCAGACCTGAGGGTTATGAGCTGACTCCGACCAGTTCGTGGGCAAGCTCTGGAAGATCATGGACGAGTGGGGAGCCGAGGCGCCCGGAGGGGAGGTCGAACCAGCGACCGTAGCCCCGTTGTGCCTCAGAAGCAATTCGAGGTCCGCGATTTTGGATTTCAGTAACGAGCGCTCCTGCTCCCACAATTGCCTTTCTTCGGCAAAAAGGGATCTCTCGTTTTCGAAATTCGCTCGTTGTCGATCCAGGAGTGACTGGGCCTGGTCGAGGTACTTTACGCTCGAGACCGAGGAGTCGCCCTGGGTGCCAAGCGTGGGATTCATGTGATAGGGATGGTTGACGGGCAACGACTGCGCACGACGCATGATGGGCGTGGCGGTAGGAGAGAAGCGCACCTCCTTGTAACAGCTGCCGTGGCCATTCGGAGATTTCGTAGCGGTTGCTGACTTCATGTTGGGTGGTTGGTAGTGGTAGACAGATGACTTCTACTGAGACAACTTCAAGGGGGTGGACAAGCCCCTCATAAGAAGGGATGGGATGGTCGGGTATAAGAAAGAAGACCAGATGTCCAAAAGGGCAGCGAGAAAAAAAAAATAACGAGGCGAGATTTATTGCCTCGGGCAGATCCAGAAGGAAAGAAAAAATAAAATTGGGTACTGACTGAACGGTCAGCTACACAATTCCGTATCATGAAACAGCGCGGAAGTAGGTCGCAAACTATGCAACAAATGAGGAATACGGAGACACACGTACGTACAGTGGCGAAACAATCAAAAGGTCGGGGCTGGCAGGGAGCCAAGCATGAGACAGGACAGTTCAGAGCGATTAATTAATCAGATGCCAACGGGTGCCTGAAAATGACACCCACGGATCCGGCAGAAATGGGGAGAGACGAGAGGCAGCGAGGAGAACAGATGGCGGGTGTTCACTGAGATCAGGCGGCCATACGTGGGGCGACAAGTGGACAATGCGCTTGACTGCAGTGATGGGTTCACAGCATTGTGTTATTTGCGAGTGGACCTATGGCGATGGGAAGAAGTCAGGCATTCGGACTTCCCACGACTGGCTGGTAAAAGTCGAGTCCCACATGCGGGGAAGAAGGAGGATAGACGAGAGGGACGAGAGGGACTTACACCAAGGGACAACGAATACACCGCCAGTACAGAGAAGAGGGGGAGGGAGGGAGGGAGGGAGGGGAGATAACCGATAACACATCCAAAAGATAAAAGAGTCGAAAGGAAAGAAGAAGAGGAAGACCGACGGATAGAAATACTGTTGATTTCCCCGTGATTGCGAGGCCTGAGGCCGATCACGAGGGCCGACGATGACGTCGAGGCAACCACGCAGATTCTCTCTGCCTTCTTGATTCTTTCTTTCTTCACTTGAGCTTTAGGGTACAGCCTACTCGGTAGTGCTGACGGTCTCAACCGATCATCCGCCCAGCCAGATATTGCAATCATCTGGCTTTGATATCATCGCCCGAATGATGTCGAACGGGTTGGTGCGAGGCACCATTTCATTCAATCCCCTTGAAACAAGCTCCAGCCTCGACTGGTCGCATCTCGTATTGATTAACCAGCTCGTGCTATTCCATTAGAATGCAATCTATCTCAATCTTTATTATATACAAAACACATACACCATGCAGAGATATACAATCAATCAATCAACCAACTAACGAACATTCCTTTGCTCCCAAGCCCTCCGTAAAAATATGCCATGCTCGACCAAAAAAAAATATGAAACAACTCCATGATGCTTCCCAGCGAAAAAAAACCCCTCGATGACATCCCTTTTTGTCTTTTGATCGGCTGCTAGTGGGGTCAACGCTGACACCAAAGATCGCGCCGTTACTCTGCGTCAAATATCAAAAAAACGTCATCGCGCAGCACCCACCAGCCACCGGCCAATTGCTCGACTCCTCGAACATCTCGGTGCTCCACATTTCGATGGATATCAATGTCTATCGCGCTGTGGAGAATAAGAAAAAAAAAGGGTATGCGCTTTAAACGAAGATGACGCCAAATATGTGATGAGGGGAACGGCCAAAAAAAAAAAAAAAAACCCCCAAATCGGAAGGCAAAGGTTTTGCGAAAGACCGAAAGAAGACGCGAATGCAGAAAAAGCAAAAATGAGGAAAAATAGTAATACATGTTCGGTCGGTGGATGTCCGGCTGATCGGAAAGACGTCAGTCATGCAAACTCCCCTAAAGAGAGGACTTTTCTTGGGAGTTTCGTTTCCCCAGTTGAAGCATCCGCTGCGCTTCACTGATAACATGTCGATGCATCGAAGGTAGCGCAAGGAACTGAAGTTCTTTGCGCATCTTTCCGAAAACCGTAGCCAGGTACCAGACACCCCGTGCGGACAGTTCGCGACCACCCGCGGCGGCAGATGGGAAATAGAACCGCGGATCCAGGTACAGGAGCACCGTCGTCCAGTTAGGTAGCTTCTCTGACAACATGCGCCCTGCGCGCTCGTACTCTTTCAAGGTACGCTTGGGGACGCCCGTCTGCGAATGGACGAAGAAGAAGATCTCGAATCCGACGCTGCGGATGCGATTGCGGGCGGTGGCGCTCAGCGTATCGAGGAATGCCCCGACCCGGTCGAGATCGAACGAGTTGCGGAAGAAGAGCGTGTTGTGAGAATAGACGAAGTCCTCGACTTCGTCGTGCAGCTGTCGATTGACAGAGAGTAGGTTGCGAACGCGGCCATTCTCGCCTACCCAGCTGGGACACATGCAGAGGGCGCGATATCGCCCGCGGGCAGTGAACGTTTTCCCGCGGTCGTCCACCACGATCAGGGGCCGGTCGATGTAGTCGTTGGGAATGGCCAGTGCATATTCATAGATCATCAGGCGGAGCTCAGCCGGTAAGCGTAGAAAAGGAGACTCCTTGGCGCTCAGTTTGCGAGCACCCGGCTCGATTGCCTGAAGCATCTCCATTTGGTGGTGTAGTTGACTAGCAACGTCGATAAGATAATGATAGTAGTCGTTAAGATAGTAGTAGTGAGAGATTCCGTGATAGCAACAGTATCAAGTTATCGTGATAAAAATGAAGGTGGAAGTTGTGACGGTATACCGGCCAACATTTATACTTCGGACGATGAATAAAGTGAGGCACTCTTCATGAGCATCAACTGACACTAATCCTAGCAGCCCCGACTCATAATTGAGTCATTAATCCTTAAGGTCCTAGGACAGCACTGAAAAAGGGATGAATGATAGGAAGAGAAAGAAAGAACAAAATGCAGAAGCAAGTTGGCAGGCAGAATCAGCTCATGCCAAGACGATGCGCTCACGGCCAGAAGAAAAAGAACAGGGAAAAAGGGGGCAAAAAGAACTGATTCGAGAAAAAAAAAAAAAAACCGACAGAAAAGAAAATTTCTACAAAACCGACATCATACCACTATTGATCAGCTAACTCCATTTCTTATCATTGGCGTCTGCCGAAAAAATGGGAGGATTCCGAAGGAGAAAGAAACCGGGCCGGATCAACCGAACCATCGTGCTGCAAACTTTAACCAGAAAACTTTTTTCTCGAAGAACTCAATCGCCACCGGCCTTCCAGTGCCAATGAGAGCCGCGTCCCTGAGGGCCCCTTCGCGTGTAAATTTTGGGTCCTACCCGTTGGAGTAATTCGAGGGAACAGGGTGACTGACAGGAAAGATCAAGATGACACGATCCCGGACAGGGTGACATACAGGGCTATATCAGGCCATGCTTAGTGGGTAGCACTTACTATCGGGCACTTCGGCACTTCTGCACTTTCTCCTCACTCCTCACCCCAAGATCAAATCTGCTCCGGACTATGGAGTCATCGGCATGCCTGGCCCCTGCAGTCTGCACTCGTCGGAGCAAATCCGCCGTGCCGGGTGTTCTTCGGTAGCGCCACCGACTGACGATGTTAGTAATATTATCTGCAAGACAATAGCCTAATCTCATCGTGATGATCTTCATCAAACCCTGAACATCCCCAGAGTAGCTCAACATCAAGATGCGCGATGGGGTAATCATAATGTGGATTTAATATATAAAACTCTATTCCCTGCCCGGTGAGACACGATCTTCACGTCCGTCTATAGACGCCGAGCGACCAGGCCGCTCGCAGCACGGCCAGACCCCAGGCCATGCCAATGCTGTCGCGAAGCACGTTGAGTTTGCTCCCCTTGACCTCTCTCCACCCGACTGGAACCTCGGCCACCCTCACACCCGCAAATTCAGCCAGCATCAGCATCTCCACGTCGAAGATCCACCCCTCCGAATGCATGTAGGGGATAATGTAGGGCAGCGAACTGCGAGAAAACAGCTTGAACCCGCACTGAGTATCCTTGATCGTAGCCGTTTTGGAGGGAGTCAGGAGCCACAGGATCAAATGGAACGAATGCATCAAGAAATTGCGGAGCTTCGAGCGCTATCGTTTCGGGACAGATGTTAGCGTCGTACCTTACTTTAGTTGCAGGGATACTGTGGAGCCATACCTTGACAACAGCTTCACTGCCCACCATATGGGCTCGAGAGCCCACCGCTACGCCGCGGCCCTCGGAATCCTCAACCCCCTGACAAGCGGAGACAAGCTTGCCCAAATCCTCAAACTTACTCGCCCCGTCTGCGTCCGCAAAAACCACGTACTGGCCACGAACATGTCGCATGCCGTGCGTGACGGCACCACCCTTCCCCCTATTCTGAGCCAACGTCACCACCCGTATTGTCCCGGGTGGTATATGAACACCCTCCTGAACCCTGGGCGTCCAGGGACCGGCGTGCCCCTTGGGGTGCAGCGAGAGCTGATGGTCGCGAGCGAAATTGAATGCCACCTCCTCCGTCTTGTCCTTGGATCCGTCCGAAACGAGGATAATCTCCCAGCCCCGATCGCTACGCGCCGGGCCATTCGCAGCTTGGCCATTTGGAGGCTGCTGAGCGGCAGTGCGTCGCCGAGTCGTCTTTTCGCCCGACAGCTGAACCTCCTCGTCTGCGTGACTGGCTAATGTCCCATACATGCGCTCGAGATAGTTCACCGCTTCTTCTAACATTCCGCCGAGACGGTCCTCCTCGTTGTAGGCCGGGACCACTAGGGACATGAACAGATCGGGGTTTTCCATGGCGGCGTGGTCCGGCATTCGGACGGCGCGTTTGGTCAGGGTATCATACCAACATGGCAGTTGCTGGGGCTCCGTAATTGATCCATCCTTCGATAGAGTGCGGTATTTCTTCTCTTCTGGCAAGGGGCTTCGCGGAACGGGGGCGACGAGAAAGAGGGTAACGTAGGACTGTGTATATCGAGCGGGGGTTAGTACACTGGTGTCATTGATCTGATCCACGTAGATCGAAGAATTGGGGGCCAACGTACCAGAACAAAAGCCCCGATAAGAGTTGCGACAACGGTCAAGAGGAGGATGGAGACGGGGACGTTGGCAAGGAGGTCTGCGCAATGAACGCAGACCCCGGCCCACGTTTCTGACGCCATGGTTGCAAATGTGCGATCTTGAAAATAGGGAGAAAGGTAGAGAAATAGAGGAATGTCGAGATCGGAGAGGAAGGATGAGCTTAAGCGCTCAAGATGACGGAGACAATCCGGACTTGGCCAGCCATGCGACGCGGAACTCGTCTGGTGCGAACAATCAACCTGGGTATCGGGGAGAGATGGGCATCGTTAGCCGGAGGGCGCGATGGATCTTAAAAGCGAAAGGGAAGAGAAAGTGCCGAAGAGGAGGTGAGGGGGAAAGCGGGCGTATCTCCGACGCGTTCCTGTCGCCAGCTTGTCCTTTCAGTGCTTAGCGTCCCCGACCCGTCGTCAGCATCTAAATTAAGTGCTGGAATCTAACTGCCTTGCGTATTCCCCTCGGACTACGGAGTGGTTACTTCCTGGGTCTTGCAAAAGTTGGCAATTCTTATTTTTACTCTTAAGCATTGTGCATGGTCTTATTTTCTATATTCTATTGTCGAAATCACAATCGGTTTAATTAGTTTATTGTTTCTTATCTTCACATCACGTATTTAGATCATCGTCCACCACATCCGTATTCTATTCCTGCCTTCTGGAGCTGTAAGCACGCTTCTGGAGATTGCTCGATCATAACCAAAAGCCTCGATCTAAAACGCCAAGGAAGCGACCGATTGGAAGTCAGACGATGACTCGGTATCTGAATCGGGTCGTTCCTCCATGGCGAAGGCATATAACACTCAGCAACGGCGTCAACCAATGTGACCGTTTGCCTGACGCACGTCCACGTAAACACTGTCGCAGCATGCAGAATACACTAGACATCGGAGGGACGCAGAGGCCCGGGTGTTTCTTTGCGATCCGGGCGGTGTCGCCTGGGCATGCATATGTTCAAGACATCGGGATGCCGTCTATCAACAGAACAACGCTAGCAATGCCGTATTGCTTCATGAACAACAACTTATAATAAATCCAATGCAAGCAAGGAACCCAGTCACCACAGCCTACTCGAATACTCAAGAGCCACGCATTTCCACATCAGCACTAGAAACTTCCTGCGGTGTACTGATGTGAAAGGGGCACTGTGCTTCCGCGAGCCTCTCGAGTTCCAGAGCAAAGGGGGTAACGGAGAATTTCTGTAAGATAGAGTCATAGGTCATCCAACGATCGAACTGCGCGATATATCAGTATAACCTCCACTTGTTTAGCTTACTGTGGAATTGAAAACGTACCTTTGCCAGCCTCACTCCCAGCCAAAGGCATCTATACATTCGGGATATTTTGAGCGATGGCATTTCAATGTTTCGTCCGTCATCCTCGGTCGGGGAACCTTCGAAAAAGGACGGGGGATAGTAGACCTGACTCCAGATATGTCCGCGGATGAGAAAGTCTTCGGGTATCCATTTTGTTTCATCAGAGATGGGGAATTCGGCCTTCTCCACCAAGCTCATGTCCAACAAGGGCGAAAACATGGTGTTGAGAAAAGCGACAATCCGCCGCCAGGGAACCACCAATTCGGCATATTTCATGCCGCCCGATGTGCGCGTCAAACACCACAAAAACGCTAACGAGAGGTGGAGAGCCGCATAAATATTCTTGTCGCCTATTTGGTCGAGGAAAATGGAAAATGTCTGGAATGCAAGATACGAGCCGTAGTATATTAACCGGGAAGGACTTTCAGGGTCGTCGAGCGCAAGAAAATCGTCTGCAACCTTCTGAGGGTCGTTGACGGAGGTCCAGTCCCTCGAAACCGATGAGTCAATGTCCTCAAGAGGCCTTGATTGTGTCGTGGATGCTAGGCGGAATTCATTCGACAAGAGAGCGTTGGTGCTGCCGTATTCCAGCATGGCGGCAAAGTTTGAGGCAGCTATATAAACCCCCTGCATTTTGAATATTCCTCCAACTCGGGGGATATAATTGTCTAATCCCGACAGAAAATTTTCGGCTGCGCTGAAGAAACGCTCTGAGGTATTCCGGCCGAATAGATAGCCGTGTGCGGTCACAAAGCCGGCCATGACCTGGGGATAGCGAACAACCCGTGGGTCCTTCAAAAGAGGGTTAAACAAAACTACAAAGATCTCTCGTGTCCCCTGGCATGGGCGCACGCTGATAAGAGATTTGGTGAAGTAGAAAAGCTGCTGGACGATATCGGGTCGAGCTGCAACGGCCAGATGATGCTGAATCCGGCCGACGTCGGGGTTCCTGTCCGCCGCTTTGTTGTACCAGTATTTTGCGACTCCGCCCCAGATCTCGCGGTCATGCAAATTCGACTCATCGACTGCCATGCGGTATTTCGACAGGTCTCCAAGGTATTCAATCCATGTCTCCTCGTAAGACGGCACGGTCTCCAAAAAGAGGGTCATCATGGAGTATGCATAGTAGATGAATGTCAGCATGGGCTCTAAGGAATCGGGCAGTCTACTACGTAGAAGTTCGAGAAATGCGTGGATTCCATATCGCCATATACGAATCGACATCGCGTACTTCTCCGATATGCGGCGCCCGAGAGATGGAATTGAGGATGGGTGTTGCGAAGCCATGTAAAAATCATGGTGCTCTTGTAGAAGGATTTGGTGCGCCGTAAGCATCGCATGCCATTTATCCGGGGATATGACGGCCATTTTCTGGCCGTCCTGAATGTACTCCGAACATCTCTTCTCCACCTTAGCTATTCCGCTGAAGATGATGCGCACCTCGCTGCTCAGTTGATATTCTGTCACCGGTTCAGCGTCTTGTATCTCCAAGAGAATCCCACATGATGCTGTACCTTCGGATGCGGCAGCGAACCTCCGGACAAATTTATGTTCATTGCTCAAATTCTGCGCTGACTCCTGACCATACGTAAGTCTCTCCGCGGCGAGACGCGACCTCCTCGGCAAGGCAAATGCCTGCTGCCCGTGGTTCAAGTTGGGCCTTGGACGATCTTGCAAAGCGGGACTGGAGCGGTTTCTGCGGTGATCAAGTCGCGATAGCCTTGCAGCTGCGCGGCCTGTCGAGTCGCCCGGTGAGTCCGGAGAAACTCGGGATTGGTGTATACCGCTGGCGACACCGGCATTTCTGGGGTGGTTATCGGGAGATGTCCGGCTAGTTGTTGGACTATTAGGTTGACTTGAATGCTCTATGTCCGCGGATACCCTCGTATTAACCAAATCGCCGGTTTGTTCATTTAGGTCATCTGCGACGAAGTTTTTGGGCACAGCCCCCAGAGTCTCGTTTGATAAAGAGACACTAGCAGAATGATGCGCGCGGTTGGTCGTAGAAGAGCCCCCCGGGGAATCTGTACCGGAGAGTGGCGGGATAACTGGACTCCTATACCAGGAATCAGAAAGCTGTGACACGCATAATGCGAAGGACTGACGTCTGACTTGACGATGCAAAAGCACCGAATGATCATCAGGGGCCACTCACTTGGCGATGTCTATATCATGGGCTCTTGAAGAAGGCATGGACGGAGAACCGGGTGCAGGATCTGTCACCGAATCCCGAACTCGGAGTGGAATCGTCCCCCGATCAACATTATCCTCACTCATCGTACTTAATCCACGATGATGTAATACGACATCTAGGTTCATCAGCTGGCCAGTCGCCATGGGGGATGAGGAGATGGTAAAGAGCGAGAGGGAATTGTCGAGTGGTTGAAACGCCGTCAAAACACGTGCAAATGCCTGAAGATTGGAACACAAAAGAGAATCGATGGAGTTCAGATGACACGACATGAAAGGTCAGAGATCAGAGAGGCGGGTGATAATGATGCGAAACTAGCTTCAGAATGGACAATAGAGCGGGAATAGCAGACAGTGACGGTGATACAATGACATCAACCAAGGCAGAGCAGAGCAGCAGAAACAGGGTTCACACCAAACAAGCAATGGCATTGACGGCATTGAAAGCCAGCAACGGCAGAACTTACCTAGCACTTGGAATATATAAGGGAATGGCTGGACGGTGGCATTTAGGTTAGGCAACTAAGCTTTATCGTCCTGTATTCATCTGCCTAGTAATACGAACCGCAGCATAGGATCCGACGGAGAGAGGCGAGAGGGCAGGAGACGCTAGGCAGAGGACTAGAAAGGCATAATAGATAAGAACTAGTCCACAATAAATTGACAATATTGAATATTCGAGTCAGAGGCAGACAGGCTTTAAAGCATGAGGGTGGAGAGAGAGAGAGAGAGGAAGGCGGAGAGGAAGGCGGACCGACGGGCAGAAGAGGCTGAGGGAAAATGGGGCCTAACCAACTTAAACTAAGACTACGGCCGATAGTTGGCCTGCCTGCCTGCCCACCCCCGCCAGTTAGTTGCCTTACGTGGGATTGTACGGAATACTATCCAGTACTCACTAGTGACATGGATAACTCGATTTGACATTATTGTCCAGACCTACATACGGAGTATTGTACATACAGTACATACTACGATCTGAAGACCGACCAATTCGGCTGACGAAGCAGCGGGTAGCTGTGGCTTGGCATCAGACCTTGCCGCCACAGCAATGTGGCGTTGATGCTTCTTCACCCTTCTGGAGAGGTCATTACAGTACTCTGTCCAGGTGTACCCCGTACACTTACATTTGAAAGTCGACACTCGAAACGGGAATGGTCGGCCTAGTCTGACCCCCCAGAGGCATGAGTGCTCCGTCAGTCCGTACCGTACTCCGTAAATGCGATCCATTTGTAGTTGCCTGACGACCTAAGTGTGTTTGACAACCGAATCGGGACAGCAGTGGGTCACGGGATGGCTGCAGTGGGGCGGCAGTCATTCGCATGGGCAAACAATAATGAACATTACTCCGTACTCTGTAGGTTTGTATTACCTTTGGGCATCCCAAGCTTAAACCCTCAGGCGCGTAGTTACAGTATAAAGCTTACGAAGCTCCCTTCGTGGCTCCCACAGATGAAGACCTGTTGACTGTTGGCTGTTGACTTTCGAGTCTGACTTTATTTCTGACGGTCAGACCCCATCCCCCGATCAATCTACTGTCAGCGGTGTTCATGCCGAGAGACCGAGCCAGGATGGCTCATATCAAACGGATGCCTGGCCCGATCAGTCGCATTTCGAGCCCTTAGCCAAGTCCCAAATTCACGCCCATTCCCCCTTTCGTCCGTGCGACACGTTCCACCGTCTCCCGGCAATTCCTGGCTCTCCGACCCTCTCTCTCTCTCTCTCGGCAGTCCGCGACGGAAAGTCCTCCCTGGCATTCAAATTATCGGACCACCCTTGCGTGAGTGCAAAGATAACCCCGACTGACTGGACGTGAGACTTTTGCCACCAAAGCATGGCCCGGAGCCCTGCGGATCGTCTCGTATGCCATAACTCTATCCAGCGATCAGCGCGCCACGTTTAACGTTCCTGCCTAATCCGGACGCGAGGGTCTTGACTCTTATGCCTGGGACCCGGATCGACCATCCGCCTTGATGGGACTAGCGATTCTAGGTGAGTACTGTCGGGTGTAGGCAGACTATTCATAGTTCGGACAGGGTCAGCTAGCATTTCGAAGCCGTGGGTTCCAATCATTACAAATCTAGGATAGTTGACTAGCTATTTATAGTATACTATACATGGTTAGTTATTGATCCTAGATGTCGGTAAGATCGACAAACCCAGATTGGATTTCCGTCGAGCGAGAAGTACAAGGGATGCCCGGATCTAATACTCACTGACTGGATTACCTCGAAGAAGTTTAAAGTGCTATGCATGTCTCCTCGAAAGACCCACCGTGGGTAGAATGTCATATTGCAAGTGAATTGATTATGATCCTGTCCAATTATTTAGCAAGGAACTGAATGGTTTGGAAAGTTACTCGATATGACAAATCAAATATTTCATTGGAAGCTCATGGCCATCATTTGATGGCTATGCCACTACTGACACTCCGTGATTGACGAAAGGATTGATAGTGTTGAAATGGTCAGCGTAGAAGGATTTGAATCCTAGTAGACTTTATGTCATTCTGTATGTAAGGCCGTTAGCTTGCATGAGAGAGTGGATGATACATACAACTGTGTCCACAGCTCTATGTAGTAACTCTTTCCCCGCTGGTTGATGCGTACCATGTCGTCGAGCCAAAAGGCTCAGATATTTAATCTGCTTCTGAACTTGGTTAATTTCGGATGTATATTTCCGGTGACCACCATCATGATTCATGAACCGCGGGACGGCATCTGCCCCTATCTTACCCATCGGTTGACAGGGATATGCAAACCGGGATACTGTCTGCCCGCCCGATCATCATTCACCCTCACCCTTGGCTACGTCCTTCCCCTCGCCAATTGCCCATTTCTCTTGTTTGAAATCTATATTTTTAGTCACCTATGTAAACCCTCCCCCTCCAAAGTACCACCCCCCCGCGTCAAAAAGGATACCAACATCCAACTATTGCCCGTGTAACGCAATCTGCAGCCCGTATCACAAGCACCCCCGAGGAACAAAGAAAGTTTGCTACTGCCACTTCAGGGGGAGGACGCAACACTGCGTTGCCCGGACCACTTCCTACTGGAACAACCCCGTCAAACAGCGGGAGCCTTGCATCAATCAGAACATTTCCAAGCCATTTGGGAATGTTGGTGTCCGCTTATAGCGTATCCGGGTGGTTGTTGGTTACTAGGACGCTTGGAGCTGGCCGGGATGGGAGTTAGCTGTGATACCTTGGCTTTTGGGTATGGCTTTAGTTATACTAAGGGGGAAATAGAGAAATGCTGGGGTCGGAGAGTGGTAATTATACTTCTTTGTAGGTCACACTATGAGGGTTTGCACGAATCACGTATAAATAATCATATGTAGACTGCTTCCAACGGTAGGTTTTCAATGACGAGAGATCAGATAGTCGAAGATAAGAGGACTGAGTATGCATAATTCATGCTGCTATAGGTACTTATCAAGGCAGGTGCTTGAGTAATGAACTCTAATGATCCACGCCATGCAATCGAGCAGAGACATCCAAGCCCAACAAAGAATCAACAAGATCATAAATCTAATAACAAACAAAAGTCGCCTGAACCATCAACCTGTTGCCTTTCATGCACATAATCCCTGAAATGCACCTTTCCCCATTCTTCAAATTCAGACAAATTGACAACCTGTCTAGCGCCGAACTTCCACCCAGGGAACTCTAAGCGCCATGTCGATATAACTATATGTGCGCTGTCATCCTCTCCCACAGCAGCATGTGCACATCCAACCAAAGCGCCCAATTCGCTGCGCCGACATGGACCAACTCACCGTGCGGCCGCAGACGAAGATGTCCGCGCCAAACATCAACGAGACGACATTTTTGGTTTCTCGCCCCATTCCCCAGGATCCCCAAGGTCACGATCATACTGATAGGTACCCTAACAGGCCGTCCTCTGGATCTCCGTCGGCACATCATTCCTCTTCCTCATCACACGACTAGCGACACGATGGAAAATCGCCCCTCAGAAACGCGCCGACGACTTCTTCCTCCTACTCGCGTGGCTCTTCTCTCTCGGAATGGCCATTCTCTGGTCCATCTTCTACAAGCACCTCTACACCATCCTATCCTTCTCTAAAGGCGACCTCTCCTCCATCCCCCTGAACATCGACTGGCTTCAGATTCAACGACAACTGAGAGCGCAATTGGCCGGTTACATCCTCAACTACTGCAGTATATGGAGCGTCAAATTCTCGTTCATATTTTTCTTCCGCAAGCTAGGAGAGCGGTATCGATTGCAGAAGATCATCTGGTGGAGCGTCTTTGGGCTGCTCATCGTTTCGTTCGCAGGCTGTATCGGGACGTTGGATTTTGAGTGCGAGGTGAGCGAGGTTGATGAGATTCTTCGTGCGTGGTTTTTTTTCGCTCCAGCTGTTTGCAAATGAATGCAGGAAACTTATGTGGCATATAGGGAACTGCACCAGTGCCGAGTCTATTCGACTCGCTCGGCTAACTGTCAAGGTTGCGACGTCATTGGATATTACGACAGATGTGGCTAGTATGTCTTCTTGATTCCCTCTCTTATTTACCTGTCAAAACAAATCGGCAAAGGAACAGCACTATTAACAGAAAGAAAGTTATCCTCCTATCTAGTAACGTCCTCTGGCGTGCGCGCATCAACTGGAAACGAAAACTAGCCCTAATAGGCATTAGCCTCCTCACGGCCTTCATCATCTGCGTGGCCATCATCCGCATGGTATGGGCGATCGCAGGGACGGGGATCCCGGATGTCTCGTGGCTGATTCCGTGGAGTATGGTGGAGATCTGCGTCGGTAAGTGTTTCGATCTATGATCGACTGGTTGAATCGATGGGTATTGAGGCTAAGAAATGTGATAGCGATCATGGTTGCTTGTCTAGCTTCGTTCTGGACTTTGCATACTATGGCCAAGGCGCGTAGTCCCTCGCCGATAGTGGATAGTGAGTCGACAATCGCGCAGGAGAGTAGGAGGGATATTCGTTTGAGAGAGAATTTGGCGGTGATTGACGGGTGTCGGTATATGTTTGGGACGAGGTCGAGGTCGTGGTCGAGGCCGCGAGGGATGAAGTATTGGAAAAGGGAGGTGCAAGAACAAGATATATGATCAATGGGTAGTGTATGAACAATACTGAAATAATATATCCTCCTATACGGTGAGATCTAAGAGCTATCATAGATCTTTTTCAATAGATTCAGCAGTAATATTCTGTCAATTTATTTGAGAAGCCCCAGGTAGACACTGCACTAAGAAACAAAAAGTCGCTCAAATGCAGAATCTAGATCAAGTTCTTCCCATCCAACCGCTGGCCCTTCTCATTAAACTTCACCACCTCCCCAGAAAGGAGGGAGTCCTGCAACGCTCTCCCAATAATAACACCCTTAACACCCAACTCCAATTTCACCGGCACGGGTTTATCATCCAGCACACTAGCCACGAACTCATTCGCCTCAGTGGCAAACGCATCCTCGAATCGCTGCCAATACTCCTCGGGCACGGCATTGCTGATACCATTCGAGTCCGCTACCTGGACATGGTTCGACCGCGGGATCAAATTCACCATGATCTTGCCCTTGGTGCCCGTGATCTCGGTACAGACGTCATGGCCATGCGCCTGGGTCCGCGAGCAATAGAAGTAAGCCATCTTACCGCCCCAGTACTCGACGATGCCGACACCGTTGTCGACGTCCTGCAGCGGGCCCAGCTCTGGGTGATGCTGGAGGGAGCCGACGGCGTAGGCGGATTTGGGGACGAGGTCCTCGCCCATGTAGTACAGGGAGAGGTCGATGTCGTGGATGCAGCAGTCGACGAAGATGCCGCCGTTGCGGGCGGCGTAGCGCACGAAGAAGCCCGTGTCGTCGAGGAGGTCGCAGGTCTGGGAGCGCACAACGAAGGGGGCGCCGATGCCGGCGAGGCGGTCTTTGGCGGCGCGGTACGAGGCGTCGAAGCGGCGGGAATAGCCCGCCATGACTTTTAGTTCGGGGTGGGCATTGGCAACGTCGACGACATGTTCGGCCTGTTCGTCTTTCAAGCGGACGGTACCTTGGTGCGTGAGTTTAACGAGTACGAAATGGGAGGGGGGTCAAGAGGTTACGTACCTCTGCTAGATCGGTGCTGAGGGGCTTCTCGCACAGCACGTGCAGTCCCTTGTTGATGGCCGCGAGGGTCTGGCTGGCGTGCACGTCGGTGCTGGTGGAGATCCAGACGGCGTTCAGGGAGGGCAGTTGGATCATGTCTTCGTAGGAGTTGAAGACTTGGATGCCGGTGCCTTTGTAGGCTTCTTCGGCCCACTGGACTTCGTTGTCCCAGTTGCTGCAGACGGCGACTACCTTAGCCCGGGGGACTCGACCGACCAGCGTGTGGACATGGCGTTTGCCCATGCGGCCGAGGCCAGCCACGGCGATGTTGAGGACCTGGTCGGTGGGGAGGATGGAACCCATTGCGTCGGTGTGATAGATGGGTAGTTGGGTAGTAGTGAAATGTGCGAGATTGAGTAGTAGATGATTGAATTGACGAGGATAAAGAAGAAGACTCCGTCGAAGAATGGTCTCTCTTTATACCTTCGCAGACCGTTGTATATTTGACCAAAACATACTCTTTTCGCCGACCTGCCGCATTGACGAGACAAGAAATCCCCGGCGAGAATTTCCGCTCGCAAATACCCCACCGGCAGATCTTCCGAGGTTCCCCAGCTTTGGGGAAATCCTCCCCGCTGTCACAGATCGTCCTGCTGCGATGCCCCTCATTGCCGGCTGAGATAAAGATACTGTGGAGGGAAATGTAGGTTTGCGATGGGCTGGATGGAAGTCATAACCTTCTTGGCTGTTGACATTCCTCCTCTTTGGCCTCAATCAGAGTTTAGAATATTTTCGGGGTTATATACACCGATGCGAGCCATAATGATTCCTGGGATTGAATCGCTTTGTACTTCAGGTAGGGATATAGAGACCGAACATCTCTGTCATCAAGTTTTCCAAGCATCATCCTGGAATTCGCTTCTGAAGAGAGATCGTCTGTCGGCTAAGAACATACCCCGATGCGTGAGGCGGGGTTATATGCTCAAGCTGGCGTTCAAAGCGCGGGCAATACCGAAAAAGAAAAAAAGGAAAGTAGGAAGGGTTGACAATGGAAATTCTCAAGTGGATTTCTCGATAAATTGGAGAGAGTGACAACTGATACTATGCTGTTTTGCAAAGACCGCGCTTCTAAAGTGAAGACAACGAAGAGAGGACCCGCTACTTAAGGCTAGCAAGACAAGATGAAATCCAAGCCGTGACAATCGGACCGTTTAAAACTACAGTACAATACACCGGAACATATTCAAGTCAATCGCACTTTAATAAACGAAAAATCCTCGATATCGTCAAGTGCGACAATCAAATCTCGGCACGACGGACCGAATCCGAACTCCGCGGGAAGCATCGCGGATACGAACCCGACATGGCAACATATAAGAGACGATGAACCAAACTGTCCCTTGGAGTGTAACAAGCTTTAAAGTTATCTGATAGTATCCCATCAAAATGGCCACCCAAACCGCAACGCTAACAACGACCAACACCCCCTCGCTGTTCGAATCGGCGCCGTTCATCCCGGCAGATGCCATCTTCGCCCTCACGGCGCAATACAATGTAGATAGTTTCCCTAAGAAAGTGAATCTCGGACAGGGAGCGTATCGTGATGAGCACGCTCAGCCGTGGATCCTACCATCCGTGCAGAAGGCCCGGGACCTGCTGGCCCAGGAGAAGTTGAACCATGAATACTTGCCGATTCTAGGCCATGCCGGGTTCCGGAAAGCTGCGCCTCGGACGGCCCTGGGATCGGATCTGTTTGGGAGGGTGGAGAACAGAGTAAGCTGGCCCCTTCTTCACCATCACATGTGAGAGAATTATAAGAAAGAACTATAGATTAACGGAGATGATGCTAGGTCGCCGCCTGTCAAAGTATCTCCGGCACGGGAGCCCTTCACCTGGCAGCTCTCCTACTCAAGTACCTCCGCCAGCCACTCCCCAACGTCTACATCCCCTCACCCACATGGTCAAACCACCATCAAGTGTTCGCCTCTCTCGGATTCAACTGCCGCACCTTCCAGTACTACGACGACGCCAAAAAAGCTCTAGACATTGACTCGTACATCTCGGCCCTCCAAACAGCCGAGCCCCACTCCATCGTCATCATCCATGCCTGCGCCCATAATCCAACAGGTTGCGACCCTAACAAGGAGCAATGGAAGCAGATCGGCCGCATCGTCAAGGAGAAACAACTATTCCCGCTCTTCGATGCCGCGTATCTCGGTTTCAACTCGGGAAATCTGGACGACGATGCCTTTGCCATTCGGTACTTTGTCGACGAGCTGCAACTAGAGGTGGGTGTTTGCATGTCATTCGCAAAGAATATGGGTCTTTACGGTACGTTATCCTCCTGTCATTAACTAACACGCCATACTTGTTCAATGAAAGAGAGAACTCATAAGAAGAACAGGAGAGCGAGTCGGCTGCGTCTTCGTCGTCACACAGACCGAAACAACAGCCACGAACACGCAATCCGTGCTTGAAATGCTACAGCGCTCTGAGGTATCTAATCCGCCTGCCTACGGAGCCAAGATCGCGTCCACGATCCTGAACGACGACGCGCTTCGGGCGATGTGGTATGAGGATTTGATCACGATGAGTTCGCGCATTCGGGCCATGAGAACGTCATTGTATGATCATTTGAATCAGTCTGGTAAGACAGTACCCGGGCAGATTTGACGAGGCATGGCTAATAGATTGTGATTTCAGGAGCACCCGGAACGTGGGATCATTTGGTGCAGCAGTCGGGAATGTTCGGATTCCTGGGACTGGAACCTGATGTTGTCAGACGGTTGAGAGGTAAGGTTTCTCTCTCATGTCGTGGAAGTATTTCTTGGATATGTGCTAACGATGACACTAGAGGACTACCATATCTACATGGCTGGCAATTCGCGCATCTCGATTGCGGGATTGAACCTGGGGAATGTGCAGTACGTGGCAGAATCGATCTCAGAGTGTCTTCGGACTTCAGGTTCGAACTAGGACTGTGCCCTTTTAGAATAGACCGGTTAGAATGAAAATACGATGAATATTTGCATTATAGCAAGAGGAACCATGTCTTACCATTTACAGCTTGAAGTAAAACAGACCAAAACATGTCAAGTAATCGTCTATCGCTCGTAATTCGTGAACGCTAAGTATTCAACCCGCCTAACACCTTCTCAATCTCCACCCAGTCTGTATAATCCACCCCTGTCAGCGGCATCGTCGGATCATAGAAACTCGAATATATCCCTTCCGCCTCTCCAGACAAGTCCATATTCCAGCCCCCTTGCATGTCGAACACCCCAGATGCCATTTCCGGGTGCATCCAGGGCTCAAGCAGCCTGGACTCCTCTTGCAAGGAATTGAACCCGTCAGTGGCTAGTGGAGTATATGACCCAGCTGGTGGTGGTCGCGATGGAGTTGAAGGGGTACCAGCTGGAGCCTGGTTGCTACTCTCTTGCTGCTTGTCACCTGTGGAATGATCTGGCCACACACGGAGACAGGATTGAAGAATGTCCTGGAGACGCTGTTCCGCGGCTAGGTTTCCTGCTTGGGAGAGAAAGCGAAGGACCACAAAGGCTTGTTCGAGGGCTGGGGATAGTTTGCTTTCTGAGTCCCCAACAAATCCCATCATGACGAGAATAAAGGCTGCGGAGAAGGTGGCGTCGAGATCGAAGAAACCGTATCGTGCTATGTTTGTAAGGGTCTTAAGAAACGATGATAGTTAGCTAGGAACGGGAAAACGTACGGATAATTCGTTGTCGCTGAAGAGCAAAAAGAATACTAAGGCTTTTGGTAGCCGCCTCGTTGCATGTCTCGCACAAGCGGGTGAGAATAGGCGGCGCTGGTTCCAAGGGTTGTTGCTCGGCCTGTCGACGGACCTTTTGACGAACCCGTTGCAGGAGAATCGGGCGAGTGCATAGAATTATAGCCTGATTGGCAATTGCTCAGTATCATATAAAACGATGAACCAAAGAAGAGCATCTCACCTGAAAGAGCATCAGGTACAGCGATGCACCGGTTCTGGTGACTGTCTGGAGTGGCCGACTAAAGTCCAACAGTAAGGGCGCAGGCAAACAGCGCCCAGTTTCGTAGAGGCCATGGAGAACCATTTGAACCTTTCGCACAAGTTCAATTTGAGTTATCGAGGCATTTCCATATAGGGCTTAGAAGACATTAGTAACTGGACACGACTCATCCGATCAAGAGTGGCTTACAGGACATGATATCGTCGGTGGTGCGGGCAATGCGAACGTTGATAATCAAGGCAATGGGCGATTGAAAGCCAATCGCGTGGCGCGGAAACTCTACGCGAAGTTGGCGTTCATCTGCGCCGGCTGCAAGACCAAGACCAGATGATAGACGTCTGCACAAGAACATTTGAGTTCCATCTTGAAGAAAGGGCGGGAGATTCATACCTGTCAAGCATATACACTGTCCACCATAGTCGCACCCGATGCGCAGTCTCCGAGGGAAGAAAATTTTGTTCAGCAGCAGGTCGATTGCATCCGAGTGCTATAGCTAATCGTAGAGCCATCCCAACCTATTGCAGGTTAGTACTCGATACCACCGTGGAATGCTGGATAATTGAACGCACGTAGAGATAAGCATCATGTTTGCGATCACACCATTGAAGGTAGGTCGTGATCAAAGTTAGAATCTCTACAGCGATGACTCCCTCTTCACCAAGTTGGTGCAAACGAGGCAGACGTCTCATCGCCTCCGCAAAAAGGCTTGCGCCCGGCGGTTGAGATGTTGGTTCTTCAACATCCATCAGTTTCGCCATCGCCATGACCAGCAAGTATTCAGTAAACCAAGTCGTTCGAGTCTGCTGTCGCTGTCGCTCTGGAGATTGAAATAAGAGCATCATTGAATCGGAAAAGGTGCGAGGATCGAAGAAATGTTGACTAACGCCTAAATAGAACAGAAATCGATCGAGAAGGTGCTGAGATTCTGACAATGACGGGATCATAGGCGCGGAAGTCTCATTGACCAGTGCTTGGGATGATTTCCATTGACTGGTGGATGAGTCTACTCCCATTATATCCGCATGAATCTTATTCGAATCACTATATGGTTGATTTCGATGCAGCAAAGACCGGACCTGAGATTCAAAGGCCGGTCCGGAGGTCAAGTCCGTGGCTGAGTGTTGTCAGATTTAACACTCGGTAGGATTAGTTAGCGCCATACCTGGACTTATACCATCATCATTGTCAGGATAAGACACTCCTTCCGATAATGGTTCCTGTATCCCATGCGTGCTAGGGGTCGCGGGTCCACCCTGTCGAGGAGCAGGCGCAATAAACACGGGGTGCTGGACTGACGATCCACGACCTCCCGGACTATATCCAGCCTGCTGGTTACCTACCGAACCCCTCTCAGAATGGGTAGCAAGCTGCTCTTCGTACGATCGGATTTTGTCTAAAAGACTCTGGACATGACTGGTAAGTTGTCAGCGAAGCCACCCGTAGCATGAGATGTAAATCACCACGCACGCTTCAGAGTATCGCCTCCGACCCCAACTGCCAAACGTGCATTCCCAATTGTGTCTAATACAGCTGCGACACGGCTGATCGCCCGAACATTTGACCTTACGCCGGCGGCACGATTCACATCTGGAAGATTGTAAGCGGAAAAGTCCCGGGTATCTATCCTCGGGAGCGCTCCCGAGAGGGTTCAGGGCCTCTTACGCATTCGCAGAACGCGAACCAGAACCTGCCATCGCTCTTACACTGTGTGCGATGGCGCTGCATAGAACATACCCTTGAAGTGGGCCCTCAAAATGAAATTAGGTGCGAGGAGAAGACAGGATGAAATGCGTCGCTTCGGGATGGGGCCGAGCGATAACGCCCTTTGCTCGGAACCTCGGTTACTAATCCGACTCAAGGCGAAAGAAGTAATTGGGGCTAAGTACTACTTCATAGTAAGCAGATCTTGCTAGAAATACTTCGCAGTGTATATTCGGGGCATACAAATAATTTCATAACTCCAAGAGCCCATTCATAGGCCGATTGTCTGAAAAATGTCGCTTTCGATTTTCGATACATCAGAACCCGAAGGCTGTGCCATGTCAGAAGCGTGTAAGTAGGGATGAGACATGCTCTTCGTTGCTTTGCGCAAGAAAAACAAGATACTGAAGGCCGGATCCTTGGTTTTTCAAGGTGTTATTTGAGTGTTGTCTTCGAGCAACCGAGAGAAACCCGAGAAGGCTGAGTGTTGAGCCAGCCTTGTTTCTTGGGGAAACCCCTCATTTAAGCAGATTCCAGGGATCATATCTGCCGAATCAGTGAGCAAACCAACGCGCTACCCAATTTTACGACACTGCGGCGCCAATCGAGTCAGGCGGTAGTCAGAACAGTGGTTTTGTTGCTTCTTGTGTTCTGACTCCTAGGCATAGGCGCCTTTCCTGGAGGACTGGTTTTCTAGTTGTTAGCGCGGATCTTGGATCGGTTAGAGTTGTTTTGAGGTTAGGTAGGGTAACTAGACACTTATTATTATTTAATCAAGTTTGTTTATTGTCCATACCGAGCCCCTGGGGCTATGACAGACCGTGTGTCGTCGGCCTGAGACTAGTCCTCAGGCCCCTATCAGTTCCTAGGGCTATCCCTTCGTTTTAAATACATTCTGTTCCTTTTCCTCGCCCCATACCGCCTTCTTGCGCAGGGCTTTTGAGCGTGCTTGCTCTCCTTGGGATTTTAGCAGGATGGGTATAGCCTAGGCGTGCCCAGACTACCCTTCCTGTTAGCCTTCTCCAGCTCGTTCAGCTTCCTCTAGGGCTTCTAGGCCCCATTCATTGTCTTTCTCTGCTCTGTGTTGATCCTTCTGGTATTGACCTCCGGGAAGGGCCACGTCTGTATTAGCTAAAAAGTCCAGTAGGGCTTTAGTAGCTTTAGGCTCCCCAAAGAACCTGCTTTCCGGGTGGTTTTCTTGTACAGAAGGCCTTGCTATTCCCGCTCTATCTAGAACTGTATATAGCACCTCTCGTTGCCGGAGCCATTGCCTGCAGCTGACTAGTATATGAGAGACTGTCTCCCTAGGAGCTTGGCAGTTTTGGCAGGTCGCTCTTTCCCGAGATTTTATGCGGTGTAGATATGATCCGATAGCTGCATGTCCTACCTTCATCTGGAAGTGTCGGCTAGCTAGGCCTTTAGTAGCTGTTGCTGCTATAGGATCCAGTTGCCAGCCTCTTCCAGATCTATAGGTTCTCTGTGTCGATCGTGATCTCTGGTTAAGACTATTCTCTAGCCAGTGTTGTCTGTTTATTCTCAACGCCTCTGTACGGGTTCTGCGAGTAAATGCTAGTGAGGTCTCTGTGCAGCCTGATCCCGGTGTTTGCGTTGCAGCTTGTTTTGCCGCTTGATCTGCCCTTTCGTTTCCTTCTATACCTGCATCTCCTGAGACCCATTGAATTCTCGGATCTTGGCCCCTAGATAGCAGGTCCTGAGCGGCCGTGCGTATATTAGCAGCTATTGCCTGACCTGGTCCAGATCCTGCATGTTGTAGCCTGCTTATAGCTGCTTGGGAGTCGAGTGGGTAGACACGTAAATTTTGATGACTTTACCTAAACGAGACATATCTGAATATTTTGCTTGGATTGAAGATACTCGTGACTATCTCGGTCAAAATATATCGCTTCTTACCCCTAATAACCCCTCTACTCTAATGTGAGGGCTATAATAGATATATCATGCTAGACAGTAGCTAGATAATTGGAGGAACTAACTATTTCGTGATCAAGAAGGCAATTCACTGACTATTAGCATTGCTTGCTGAAGTGAATACAGGTGACCTGACCTCTTAAGTGATAACTGCGAATCCATGAGATTACGTGATCTAGGTAGCGGCTTGGCCCGCACACTCGAACCCCTGAGGAACTTACCCCTTTATCTATAGTTAGGAAGAGAGAAGAAGAGAATCGTTATGCAAGAGAATTAAGAGCCCTATCATTCTAAAGACATTCGCTCCTTAGTAGGCTACGTGCGTGTAGTCGATATAGTGTCATTCTGCCCTCCTTCCCCTGTGTATTTCATCACAAAAAGCAAGCGGTATGGATAAACCTTGTAGCCTCAGGTGGCAGCGGGACCGCCCCCATTCGGTTAGGTAGCGACTTGGCCGAAACAGTCATTCATCTTATTGCTTGTTTGTCGTCGACCCTCGATCAAGATGAACCTGCATCCTGTAGCTTGTACGCGCTGTCGATCTTTCAAGGTAGAGTTCATTCTAATCAGACCTGGGACCGATTACTGATCTACTTCCAGCGTAAATGTTCTCGGGAAATTCCCACTTGCCAGCGATGCCGACGTCTCGGTTTCGACTGCAGCTTTCCGCCTACCCGCAGAAAACAGCTGGTCGAGCATCCATCACACAATCCCGGATCGAGCAAAGGAACATCATCGGTGCTCAAAAATGGTCATCTTGCCACCGAGTTAAATAGTCTCATGGTGCTTGATTCTTATTTTTCGCTTTTTATCCCGTCAAGTTTCATCTGTCACCAACCGCGCGTGAAGCGGCAATACATCGAAGGCACTATATCAACCTTTGTGCGCGATTCGATATTTTCTATAGCTCTGCTGTTGCTGGAATCAAAGACGGCAAGCCAACGGCATCTGGTTGACGAGCCCTCGGGACCGCTGAGAACGAGGCCACCGTCGGAACTGTGGGCCGAACGAGCCAATGTGGCTGCCAAGCAGGTCTTTCGTCCAACACTGGAGACGGTCCAGACTTTCTACAATCTTGCAGCTTACTGGTGCGCCACAGGTAAGGCGCATAGTCTCAAAGAAACTGCTAGTGAGTGCCTGAATTCTACTTAATCTGCCATCGGTGGCTCCGATTAACTGATTTATTGGATAGATAATGCAATGCGATCCGCCCAGCAAGTGGCGGTTCGTAGCCCCCGCTTGCCTGTTGGTGAAGCTAGCGAGCTGAAGCAATCATGTTTCTGGATCGCAATGACATGTCGATGTCTGCTCAACGATGACGAGACTGTTGCTTCCTTCAATTTGGTGCTGGAGGATCAGCTCTCAGCACGAGAGGATATTCTCCCCCAACGTCCAGAAATTCTTCTGGCTAGTGATCTTCGTGGAAATATCATGAGGCTCGTAGAGATCTGGTGCGTAAGGCTGTTCCTAGCTTAGAGCTAATTGGATTCTGACAACTAGTCAGGTTGAAAATCAGACAATTCGTCCATGGGCTTGATAATAGTGCAGATCCCGGAGCGCAGTTGGTAACGTTGGCCAACCTAGATACCAATGTTTGCCGCCTCTACGAAACCTTCCCGCCACAGTACAAGGATTTTGACGGCCGAAGTTGCGACAGGGAGTCGGAATTTGATGACATTGTTTCACTGCAAGCGATCTATCATCTTTGCCGTATTCTTCCGCACCTAGCGATGGTTAGGTTCCTGCAAAAACAGGAGCCATGGACTAAAGTGCATGTTCAACCGTGCTCTCAAATTGCGACCCAGCATATCAATCGGGTTTCAGATCTCTTCACGAATTGCATTTCCACTCGACATCCCTTTCGATCAGCCTTGCCACCCTTTGTCGCATACTGTTCATTGTTATCAAGTTCAGTTTATCTGAAATATGTGGAAGCTGTTCAAAGCCGTAGCGAAGCATCAAGAAGCTATCAGAGCCCTGCTTTTCGTCTCCTAAGAATACGGCTTCTCTCCAACTTGCACTTGCTCAACCAATCAAGGAGGTTTTGGGCCCCCGTTAAGTCAATGGTAGGTGATAACTACTTGGAGTCTAGCCTGAAACGGAAACCAAAAAGAAAAGAAAAGAAAGGATTGCTGACTTTTAACTCAAGTGGGACGTATTACAGGCCGATATGAAATCTGTGGGGCTATCAAACAAAGATATCGAACAATTTTTGCAAGAACAACGTGTTTTAGGCGAATGGACAATACCAATCCCCAGTCCTCCGGCATCAGTTTGCCCTAAACGCCAGGCAGAATCCTTCATGGTAACCAATCTGCCGCAGGTTATGGAATCAATTGTCCTATTTGACCCAGGTTACATTCTGGCCGGAACGCTTGAATCATATCCACTCGGAGCACGGCCCAAACGCCGGACCACCTCACCATCTAATAAAGGCAGCCCATCCGACTCCCTTGAAGAGAACATAATTTTGATGCCGGGCCGTACATGGGAATTGCCGTTGCATGCTAGTCCTCGGGATCCACAGCAGACAAACGGAGTTCCCACACGCTCCGACCGTTTTATGCAGCCCGATAATGACCAAAAAGAAAGTTTGCATAGTCTTGTGCCCAACATAAACCGTGCAATACCTTTGCCGAATCCAGAAGAGGACCCAGTCGCAGTGATGGGGATGATGGAAATGATGTGGCTCGACGGGAACGAATTGCTGATATAGTCACAATTGGCAGCAGGTTCCACTCTGAAGCATCTACTACATGGCCTGGGCTACCGTGACTTGACACTGGGGAGCCCTACGACCGATATCTCCGTCTTTACGCGTGTTAAGCGACGCGGAGGTAGAGTGTTTGGTGACCAACACCGACGCGACCTTGTTCTTATTCCCCTTGTACGTACTTCAAATCGACTAATATAAAGTCCTTGTTCGATTCCACGTCAACGAACGGAAAGAGCTCGCAGCCTCATCCTCTACTCTGGAGGGGATAGGGCCGATGATGTTCATGCTGCAACTACAGTCGGACTTATGTCAAACTTTGTTCGCATCGGAGGTATTTAAAGCACGGTCGGTGGTTCGGTGCTCAAAGATACCGACTAGCCAATCAGCCATGCCTATGAAGCGGAGTGGGTCAATCAGTTAGCGCCATGGCATCTGATGGGCCAGAAAGAGATCAGACTTCCACTCCCGATTAAACTGGAGGTAAACTATTGCTGGTTTGCTTTCAATGGTTGTGAGGATACTGAACCAAGGCAAGCTTGGTATTGTGGGTATCCAACATGAAATCGTCGGAGATACGTCTGCCGATCCCCGGTCATACCTTTAGAACAGACTGCAAAATGGATTCATAGATGCGGACTGCATAAGTTCGTTCCAGAAGTCCCGGATCTGCGAATATCCGAACAACTGTGGATTGCTTCCAAGCGGGTAGATGTATACATTATGCGTACGTAATGGCGGTTAAGCATATTTTATACCAACAGCCAGCCCCTAAACGAGAGGGATACATTAAGGGTTGATTGGGACTTCTCTATATTACTTGCCTGAATGGACATCCTACACCTTCTTTCTGCGTTTTGCATCTACGACATTCATTCTCCATTGTTTTAGTGGCGGCTCGTGAACTTCCTCCGCACCATGGCGCAAGGCATCAGCGAGCAGCCTACCGAGGAAAACCTTAACCTCCGATTGACAAGAACGCAGACTGCCTCTAGCCTTATCACAAACCAGGATCGGGAAGCCGTCGCTCGGATAGCGACAAACATCCAGCAGCGGGCCTCCGTTCCTGAGGAGTTTGAGGTGGACGACGCATCGTTAGACCCCACGAACCCCCAGTTCAACCCTCACGAATGGGCGAAGAAGATAATTCGTTCCTTTGATACCGAGGAGGTCGGAGCCCGTAGCCGGGGAGTGTTGTTCGAAAATCTGACGGTCTCCGGCTCCGGCTCTTCGCTACATATTCAACAAACCGTCCTCTCCACTCTCATGCTCCCCTTTGCGAAACTTGCGACAATGGTACAACAACCGCGTAACCAGAGGAGAACAATATTGAACAGTTTCGACGGCTTGCTGGACAGTGGCGAGCTGCTGCTTGTCCTAGGACGTCCCGGAAGTGGCTGTTCCACGTTTCTCAAATCAATATCTGGTCATTTGAATGGATTGGACCTGGACCCATCAAGTGATACCCAATACAAGGGTGTCCCATTCACGCGCATGATAAAGGAATATCGGGGAGAAATTCTCTACAACCAAGAAGTTGACAAGCATTTCCCACACCTGACGGTCGGCGAGACCCTTGAGTTTGCTGCCCACGCAAGGGCTCCCCGAAATCGAATCAACGGATACAGCCGAGAGGAATATGTGAAAATCATGGTCCTGGTAATCATGGCATTCTTCGGTTTGTCACACACGTATAATACCAAAGTCGGAAATGATTTTGTTCGAGGGGTCAGCGGAGGTGAAAGGAAGCGAGTGAGGTGAGTGGCTGCTGCAGTCAAAAATGATTTCCATAGATGCCGGTTACTAAAATTTCAACAGTATTGCGGAGATGGCCTTATCACACGCCCCAATCGGCGCATGGGATAATAGCACACGGGGTCTGGATGCTGCCACGGCCCTGGAATTCGTTAAAGCCCTTCGGCTCTCTGCCGACCTCGGGGGTTCCTGCCATGCAGTAGCAGTTTACCAGGCCTCTCAATCAATGTATGATCTCTTTGATCAAGTCATCGTCCTGTATGAGGGTCGTGAAATCTTTTATGGTCCATGTGAACGGGCAGTGCAGTACTTTGAAGACATGGGCTGGGAGCGACCTCTCCGTCAGGTTAGTGGTGACTTCCTGACCTCCATAACCAATCCTATTGAACGCGTTGCTCGGCCAGAGATGAAACACAAGGTTCCTCGGAGCGCGGCAGAGTTTGAATCCTACTGGAGACAAAGCCCGGAATATCATGCTCTGCAGTCCAGAATAAAAAAACACAAGCAAGACTTTCCCGTCAATGGCCATCACGAAGAGTCTTTCAATGCTAGAAAGCAGGCAGAGCAAGCCAAACATGTTCGAGAGCGAAGCCCCTACCTGCTTTCGGTCCCGATGCAATTCAGGCTTTGCCTCAGAAGAGCCTATCAACGAACAAGAAATGATCTTCCTGCCACGATGGCTACCGCGATTGTTCAAATTATCTTATCATTGATCATTGGCTCCATCTTTTACAACACCCCAAATAGCACCGATGGTTTTTTTCAGAAAGGCGCGGTGCTTTACTTTGGCGTGTTGATGAATGCGCTTATCACTGTCAACGAGATCATGCAACTGTATAGCCAACGACCAATTGTCGAAAAACAGGCCGCTTATGCCTTTGTCCACCCGTTCACAGAATCATTGGCCAGCATTATCTTGGACTTTCCCATCAAGCTTTTCCGGTGCTTCATCTTCAGTCTCATACTCTATTTTATGGCCAATCTTAGACGGGAGCCCTCGCAGTTTTTCATCTTTATCATGTTCTTGATCACGGCCGTCGTAACAATGTCTGGCGTGTTTAGGACTTTGGGTGCGATGACAAAGACCATTGGGCAAGCCATGGCATTGGCTGGAATTATCATCATCTGCATGGCTGTTTACACTGGGTTTACGATCCCCCAGCCCTATATGCACCCTTGGTTTGGCTGGATCAGATGGATCAATCCCATTTACTACGCCTTTGAAGGGATCATTTCCAATGAATTCCACGGCCGCAATTTTGAATGCAGCCAATTTGTTCCTAGCTACCCTTCGTTGAACGGAACGTCTTTTGTCTGTTCTGCTGTGGGTGCAGTTGCAGGAGAGCGTTTTGTTTCCGGTGACGAGTTCATTGGCCAAAACTACCAGTACTATTACAGTCATATCTGGAGGAACTATGGCATTCTCATTGCCTTTCTGATATTCTTCAATACTCTATATCTGGTCATCACCGAGCTCAGCCCCGGCCTCTCATCCAAACCAGAGGCACTTGTATTCCGTCCAGGGAAGGTGCCCGCGTACCTCAAAAATGACGACATTGAATCTACCGGGCCTGAAAAAGGATCCATGGCCACCTCCGCCGGATCCGCAGAGAAAGAGCATGAAACTGAAACTGCCCATCTAGCAAAGCAAACTGACATCTTCACATGGAAAGAGCTATGCTACGATATTCCAGTCAAAGATGGCACGAGGAGACTGCTAGATGATGTAAACGGATGGGTGAAACCAGGAACTCTCACTGCACTTATGGTACCCGCTTCTCCCTGAAATCCCACCCGTCAAACAATTGATACTAATATTTTCTATTCCAGGGTGTATCCGGAGCCGGCAAAACTACCCTTCTCGACGTACTCGCTCAGCGTGCGACCCTTGGAGTTATAAGCGGTGAAATGCTGGTCAATGGCAAAGGTCTCGATGCCAGCTTTCCACGAAAGGCAGGTTACGTGCAACAACAGGACCTCCACCTGGAAACCTCAACTGTCCGTGAAGCTCTTCAATTCAGCGCTGCCCTACGTCAACCTGCGTCCGTTCCAACGCGGGAGAAATTTGCATTCGTTGAAGATGTGATCCGGATGCTCGACATGGAAGATTTTGCTGAATCGGTGGTCGGAAATCCCGGAGAAGGCCTCAACGTCGAGCAACGGAAATTACTTACTATCGGTGTTGAGCTTGCTGCCAAGCCTGCTCTACTTATCTTCCTGGACGAACCCACTAGTGGTCTTGATTCACAGAGCTCATGGGCGATTTGCAAGTTCTTGAGAAAGCTTGCTGATAACGGACAAGCGGTTTTGGCCACAATCCATCAGCCAAGCGCCTTGCTGTTTCAAGAATTCGATCGGCTTCTCTTCCTTGCGAAAGGCGGCAAGACTGTCTATTTTGGGGACATTGGTGAGCAATCGCGGGCCTTGCTGGATTACTTTGAAAGCAACGGAGCAAGACACTGCGAGCAAACTGAAAATGTAAACTTTCTAACTTGACCTCTCGTTCTCTGTACCATCGTGGCTAATGAAACTCTTTGTAGCCTGCCGAATATATGTTAGAAATAATAGGTGCAGGAGCTTCGGGCCAGAGCTCGAAGGATTGGGTAGAGACGTGGAATAACAGCTCCCAACGAAACGAAGTGCTCGCAGAACTGGACCGCATTGCTCAGCAAGAGTCCCCGAAGGTGACAGAGTCTGACGAAGCAAGCACTGGCGAGTTCGCAATGCCCATCACCAGTCAATTCTACTATGTGACCAAGCGAGTCTTCCAACAATACTACCGCCAACCGGAGTACATTCTTGCGAAATTCGTACTGGGAATTATTTCCGGCCTCTTCATCGGTTTCTCGTTCTGGAAAGCAGACAACTCTCAGCAAGGGTTTCAGAACGTGCTGTTCAGTCTTTTCCTTCTCTGTACGATTTTCTCTACCTTGGTCAACCAGTAAGTTATCTGCCTTAGCAATCATGGACGACAGAAACTGACCAAACCAACCAGGATCATGCCCAAATTCGTTACCCAACGAGCCCTCTACGAGGTCCGCGAACGACCATCCCGAACCTATTCCTGGAAAGTCTTCATCCTCGCACAGATCCTCGCCGAACTTCCCTGGCAAATCATCCTCGGCGTCTGCTCCTGGGCCTGCTTCTACTTCGCCGTATTCGGCGCCTCCCAAGAACCCCAACGCCAAGGCCTGGTCCTCCTCTTCGTGGTCCAATTCTACATCTTCGCCTCCAGCTTCGCGCAACTCGTCATCTCCGCCCTCCCAGACCCCGCTCTTGGAGGCATGCTCGCCGTCCTTGGGTTCGGTATGTCTCTTATCTTCAACGGAGTCATGCAACCGCCCTCTGCTCTCCCGGGCTTCTGGATCTTCATGCACCGCGTGTCCCCCTTAACATACTACATTGCTGGGATCAGTGGTGCCGCTCTCCACGGTCGCTCTATCCACTGTTCGGACCGAGAACTTAACACTTTCAACCCCCCTTCCGGACAAACCTGCGGTGCCTATCTAGCTGAGTACCTCAAAGCTGCGCCCGGAGAGCTCTACAACCCCAACGCCACGCAGGAATGCCAGTACTGCTCCCTGAGGGTCGCAGATCAGTACCTTGCCGGTCGGGATATCTCGTGGGATGACCGTTGGCGGAATTATGGGATCTTTTGGGCTTATTTCGTGTTCAATGTGTTTGGGGCTGTGGTGTTGTATTATATCTTCAGAGTGTGGCCTTATACGAGGAAGGTCGGAGGGAAGAAATAATAGGATAGGTTGGTGGGGGGTATGTTCCTAGTTGGTTGGTTTAGATGAGATGAGACGAGACGAAGGATTCCATTCCGAGAGGTGAGGAGCTCTACATGTATGTAGCAGCAGGCGTATAGATGGGTATGTTGTGTTGTACTAAATTGTATTATTATTGGATTGGATAGAGGCAGACCAAATTGGAATACATTGGATTCAATTGATTTCACATCACAGCTAGAATTAGAACTCGGACGTATTCGGACTTGCTCGGACACGAATTCGAATCACGCGCTGAAAACATTCACGGATACGAGAGTGTAGATTACAGTCGAGCTCCGTGTCCGAGTATCTAGTTTTTCCTAGGATGCATATCCCAGGTCGGGTTGACCGTAGACATCGTATAGGTAGCTCTTGGTAGAATGAAAAAATGAGCGAGAAAGCAGCGGAGAGGACTAAATTGTGACCGACAAGGTACGGATTATACGAGCACAATAAAAATAAATCATAATTCAGCTTAAGACAGGGGTATCCAGTTCAGCATTTTCACCCCCGAGTTCGACAATCTGGCGCAGTGATCTACGGCTGCAGTCCTTCATTAATTAAACAAAACGAGCGACTCAGTCCCGGGAATAACAAGACAGGAGTAACGATAGGATATCTAAACAAAAAGGAAAACACCATGTAATCTCATTCACTCCAAGAGATGACCTTCCCAGCATGCGAGGTAAAAATGAATTCAAAGCGAAATAAATTTACTTGGGCGCATCTTGAAACTCGGACCCAGAAGAGAGATGGAAATTGGCCACAGCGCTTTGGACGGCGCTCGTGATATCGACGTGGAAAAATGGTCGATTAATTCCCTCTACCACGGCCATCGTCCCGGGAATTCGCTTGCGAGTGTTTGCATTCCCCCGACGCTCTGCGACTGTAGATCCGTCTTCTGATGACTGTGTCTTCTCGATGCCGAAGCTTTGGCTTTCAATACTCCGCTCCGTGGCCTGAGGATATTGTTTCGAGGATAAGGTATTGTCCACATCAGATCCCGACTCTAGATCTGGGTTCCGCTGGTTAGTGACGAGCTCGGGACTTCCGCCGACGTCTGCGACCGAGAATATAGGCTTCCAAGACTGCTCGACGCCGTCGGTATTAGAGACAGATGGGGGGAATCCGAAGCCTGCTGCTACAAGAGCTCGTTTCGTCCATTTGTTGTTGATATGAGCGAAATGCCATTGAACCTTATCCGGGGTGGTATAACGATCCAGCTGATTCCGCACGTCGATGAGGTTCTGCACAGAAGTGACGTCGACATTATTGACGGAGGAAAAGTCGAGGATAATGGCCTTCAGGGTGGGTAGGTTCGAGGTGGTGTCGATGTTAGCCTTGGCTTTGCTGCGGCGCGGAGCAGGGTCGTTCCAGGGTCTGTCTCCCGGGTTTTCGTAAATGTTCTGCGTCGTTCGTCGAGTAGTCTTGAATATATGATTTACCAATTCGTCTGTGTAGTGGTTTGCGTTGGGGTAGTTGAAACCTTCAGACAGTCTGTAGATGAAGATTCCGGGAGACGGCTGTTCAATTGTGATATCTGGGTTCGATCCGTCCGAGTGGGTGATAGGCAGATATATAGTCCTGGGCGAGATGGAATGAGGGTCTTCGTCGTTGGTAAGGAGGTGGTCGCCAATGACGGAATGGACTCTCACGCGGCCCAAGAACTGGCCCCGAGCCTTTGCGAGACGGAATAGGAGAACGGCGGCCGCGACACTAATAGTGCAATAGATTCCGATTTCAATCTCAGTGAAGATGATGATAATGACACCTCCCAGGAAGATGAGAGCATCAATGGGCGCAACACGCCAGAACTGGTAAGTAACGCTGGGCGGAGTGATCAGGTCTCCGACGGCGTGGATAATAACACCCGCGAGAGAAGCACTAGGGATATAGAAGAAAACGGCTGGAAGGGCGTAGATAGCCAGGAGAACGACAATTGCCGTGATGACACCCGCTAGTGGTGTGCGTACACCGGACTTAGCCTTAATAGCCGTCCGCGAGAAGGATCCTGTAGCGGGATAAGCGCCCAAGAAAGGACCCAGGAGATTAGTGATGCCGATGGCGATAAATTCCTGCGAGGGATTGATGGTGTAATTATTGACTCGACCGAACGACTTCGAGATCGCGATATGCTCGATCAGGAGCACAATGACTGCACCCGGAATCTCATTGGCAAATGAGGATATGATTTCAGAATCAACGCGAGGTACTCTGGCATGAGTGAAGCCTCGCGGTACCGTGCCGAGAATTTTGAAGGCCGGATCATCACGCCGGTGTAGATTGACGGCAGCGCTGATCATGGTATAGAACAAAATGATAAAGGCCGTGCGAAGAGTCGAGATGAAAAAGAAAAGCTTCGCGCGATGAGGCTTTCGGCGCGCCGCAAAATTGCAGGCGAACCGAATAGCATACAGCAAGGCCAGTGCGGTCACGCCCATGGCTGCATCCATCTTGGCGGTCGGCAAGTGTTTGAGGGTATCTATTATGACTCGGTATGTCGCACCGCGCGTCGAGAATTTGGCAGTCTCTCCTAGCAATGTCTTCACCTGTCCAACGCAGATGTTGATGGCGGAACCTGTCATAAACGCCGTGATAGCTGGCAGCGGGATGAAATCCACAATGAAACCGAATCGAATGAAGCCCAGAAAGACGACGATGGCGCCACAGATGATGGCCAACGCGGATGCGATGTCGGTGGCCTCTATCTCGGGGTGCTTTTCCTGTGTGCTTATGATAATACCGCCAACTAAAGTAGACATGACAGCCACGGGCTGAAACAGTCAGTTGTGAACGCCCGGGCGGGAAAAGGGTGGCAAGAAACACGTACTCCAATCGTAATATCTTTTGATGTGGCAAAGAACCAGTATATCAGAACCCCCATGAACGAGGTGTACAGGCCATACTCGGGGGGTAGTTCAGCAAGGATGGCATACGCCATACCCTGGGGAACGACAACAGCACCGACAGTGATGCCTAGGAGTCTTAGTTTCGTACTACGTGTAGATTAAGAGAAGGTAGCGTACCGGCAACCAAGTCCCCAATGAGCCATTGTAGGTTGTAACTCAGAATCCAATGTAGGAATGGGAACAAATTGTAGACATATTGAATGGCGTCGCGAGTCGTAGGGGCGTGCTCCCGAATCCAGTCACCTGCAGTCGGTTCAGGCTCGACATAAGTGAGAGAATGGACATCCTCTATGGAATCAAGGCGGGTGCTGGAGCTCTGGTTGCTGTTCGGATCGATACCCAAGACTTTGGCCAGGCCATGACCGATCTTGGAAGATTTGCTATTCGACATGACCGATCAGATTTATTGGCGCTCTCGGCCTCCGATTCGTTTGACAGACGACACGCGCCGTAAGCACCTATTCTAATGAAGCAAACAGTCAAGAAAATATCGAGAAAGAAGCAGGTGTCATGTCCACGAAAATAAGCGGAAGGAAAACGCCCAATCTCTTATATGCTACATCTCGACAAAGGAAAATGGTTCCTCGCGGTCGAGGAAAAAGTGATTTACAGCGCCAGAGCCATGCGGCTAGGCGATGTCGTGATTTTAGGACGGAAGTGCAAATATACTCCAATCGGGCCAATCACGAATCAGCCAGCTGGGGGCAGGATTGTCGGCTGCGAGGAGCTTCATCTGCATTGGCCCGCGGAGCTTCACCATCCTCACCACACGCAGGCATAGCGCCATTTTGCCATGCGATGGGCAACCCACCATGTTTGATTCTATTCCGTGTACCCTGACAATGCCACCTCGGCGCCCTGTACGCGGGTTCGATATTGCAGGGAGCAGGTCGGGGACTGACTGATTGGATCTAGGTCCGTGTTGGCGTCTTGGTGCCATGCCCAGACTGCTGGACTGGAACTAGTTGCTTGGTATGCCTGCTCTTCATTTTACCCCACTGTGGTTCATATCTTGGCCACTGTTGGCGGGCCTTTCTGTATATCTTGCGGACCGGTGGCCTGGCTCCCCTTCTGGAAGCGTAGGAGCTTCTTCTGCTCTGGCGCTTCGAGCATAGGCAACAATTTTTCAAGAAAAGATTGACTGTCGCAAGATAGGGCTGACCGTGTCCCGGCGACCCACCACGGCTAGGTACATTGTAAGGTCGACCCACCCGTTCCACTGTGGACAATTGACATTAGGCCAGCCGGTAGGGGGGCTCCGAGGAAAAAGACAGACACGAGGCCAAAGAAAAAGAAAAGCGAGAAATCACGACAGAGGCGGTGCCGGAGAGTTCATTTGCAAACGCGGCTAACAGGGAGTGCAGAAGAGAGCCAAGGACCGGGGTGAGTGAAAGGATCGCTTACCTTCATCTATTCATCTCAAGGCTTCATCGTGGTTTTCCGCAAGGGGATAGCGGGAGGATGGACTGAGTTAGCGCTGGTCCAAAGCGGCCGGCCACGCCTGCCTTTCCTTGTCGAGGGTCCATCACGCCATTTCAAACATTATGGCGATTTGGGAATTTAGTGCCTGGTGGGCCCTGTCGAGGTTAGTCAATCTCGATGTCAGTCGATTGTTTTGATGAAGATGATGATGGTGAAACTTGTCGGTCGCCGCGACGAGAAAGGCATTCGGTCACATGCTGGCCATGTGACCCCCTGCCATTTGAATCAACTATAGATGAGAAGAACGATGAGCACAAGTCCTAGGTGGTAGGTGGCCACTGCGGTGATCAAAACGCATCAAAGAACAAATGAACTTGATTTCTAAATATCATTCAAGCGATTGATATTTCGAGAGACTGATGTGACAAGAAACAAGTTGCATGCATAACGAGCTCGTATCAACGACCATAGATTTTAGAAAGCAAAGCCTTCCATCGCCTCAAGGCACTTAAGATATGCGCCTTCCAGGGGAATTAAACGGACCATCTTCCTCCACTAATGGAGCTTTCCATTCCTTCAACCTTCTCTCATCCCAAAGGGCGTAACTCCAATCCCAGTCCTTGTCCTTTTCTCGATCGTGGTTCATGGAATCGTCAAGATTGTCTCCCTGGCTGAGGGGCAGCAGCCATGCTTTCTTCCAACCCACAGTAGGCTGCTCAAGAGGCAATAAAGTAGACCAGAACTGTTCAAAATTCGGAGAATCGAGTCGATCCGCCGGGTCGATGAACGGGAACTGAATGGACTGCGAGAGCTCGACCCCATATCCAATGAACGGCCCCGGCCAGAAACCTCTGGTATTGACGCAGACGATATTACGCCGGGATAGCCGGTCCATATGGAGAATGTGGTATATGAACTCCGGCCCTAGTCCCGCCAGTCCCTCGTAATGTTGGTCGAAGTGAACAAGGTCCCTTTCTGAATCTATATCACAACCTGCAGGTAGTCGCTGTTCCTCGGCAAAGATGTCCCAGAAGAATTCGCATGGTGTATTCTTGCTGAGCTGTCGTAAATCGTTTGCTATCTCTTTGGCGATACCCTCAATCTTGGTAATGAGATAACCAAACACGCTTCCCAGTTCGTCATGTTCCCATAGGGGCATTGGACCGTAGAATAAATGATAAGCCTCCACGCGAACAACCTCAGAGTCTACAGATACATCATCGACTTTTAATTGCCAGTATTTGCCCCAGTCCCCGCACGTGTCACACTCCGGGTGATCTAAACACTGGACTGGTTCCCCGAATATGTTTTTCAGGATTTGGAACCGGCATATCGCTCTGAGAAAACGGCGCTTTTCAGAAACCGACAAGGACAAAGGCAAGTATTCCCTTTCCCATTGAACAGGCTCGATAAATGGGGGCCTCGGTGCGTTGTTTGAAAAGCCCTCGAGGAAGAAACGCAGCATTTTATGAAAATGTAACAGTTTTATCGTTTCCTCGAGGCTGTCAGGCTCGTCTAGTCGATTGGATGAGGATTGACCGATCTGACGGATCTCGTTTCTGCGGCGCCAATTGTCCAGCAAGCAAATTACTTTCTCGTCCTGGTAGGCATAACGCACGCCTTTCGACCGTATAGCAGTGAGTGCCTCTGCCAGGTCGAGAAATCCATTATATTGACGTTTCACTAAGAGTCTAAGCAGTGGGTTTCTCACTGCGAGGTAGACTTGATGGTAACCGGGTGACGCATGCACGAGAGATTTGAGCGTGCCGCCGTCTGGCACTTGAAACAAAATGAGAATTTTCAGCTCGACTGGAAGATCATCAAGAGCAGTCTCAGCCTGAAAAAAATATTAGCTAAGCTTAGTAATGTTCGAGCTGGTTTCATGGGCTCACCATATCTGATGAAAGCTGCGGCGGACTGCTGTGCTGGAGGGGCAAAAGACTCAAATGAGGGGCTGAAGAGAAATGTTGCTTAATCCGTCCGAGACTCGAAGAAATTTTGTGCTCCTTTTTGAATTATTTCTGTTTGTATGTTCGTTAGTTTACTTCGTCCAATTTATTGATATTGCATGTTTCTTAAATCTGGCTATTGCCATGTATCCCCTTGCTCAAAATGACCAGCCGCGGTGAAAGAGACATCAGAGGTCGTTGAAAGTACTATTTATTAACTGTGCCTTTTGCCTTCTCGGGGATCAAACTGTATGCAGTACACCCCATGATTGTATAGCGTAAATCGCAAAAGGTATATCAGTGGAGTGTGTTGATACACATCAGGCTGGGGCAGACCACGTGGCTATCTGTCGAGCATATTGAACGGAGGGATTGCCTTGCACGTCGCTTAATAGGAACCGAGCACTGCTTCGGGGCCACGGTGAGGAATCGACTTTTTGAGAATTTCACTGAGGTTTTCCCAGCGAACGATCATGGTGATGGTAGTGAAGCTCACAATGGCGAGAGTTCTCGGCCATACAGTATACTGAGCTAGGATTGGACGGGATGAGGATCCCGTCATCACTGAGAAGTTAGACTCTAGATTTGACGGTTGCCTGTATGACTTGGCTTGCATAAGGCCATTCCACCATTTTCAAGCATATCAAACACAGTCCACGAGATACTGAAGGCATTGTCTCACAACATGTGCTTTTGCAAGAAGGACATCCTAGAAGACTATCGTACGGAAACACGCGAGGCCATTCGGGACATTAAAGAAAGTATGCGCCCCTGATCTTCCCATGGAACATTAGCTTACCATTCTCAAAGGCCAAGAAGAGACCCGTATAATCATTGCCCTGGGTGAACCTAAAGCCGGGAAAGCCACACTGATTGATGATATCTTCGACCCTTTTCGTAAATATAGCAAGCAGCCAGAGGCTATCGAACCATCGCCAAGCGGGCCTTTTGGAACCCAATACAAGCCTTGGGGATACGGGTCTTTTGGATATAAGCCTAGGGAATTGAAACCTACCGCAGGTGCTAATCCTACATCCAATTGTGAGATAGTACAGGCGAGCATCAAGTCACAACGTTACGCGTTTATCGATACACCCGGCATCGATAAATATAACGCAAAGCGGGCATTCAAGAAGTTAGTCGACCTCATTCGCCACATACGCGATGACAACGTCGTCTTCGAGGGTATTTGGTATGTTGTCAACAGTGTCTAAGCCAAGGTGAAAAAATCGCAGAAAAGGGTACATTTCTTCTACATTTATTGATAATAAAATTTAAAAGGTATTGTTGTTTTTTGGACACCGATAATCATTTGGATGCGAACGAAAAGACTATAAATATATACAGTGCCTCGTACACACAGACAAGGCAAATGCTGTATACGTTTGAAACTCCGAAATGCACCAAAGCAAACATTAAAGCAAGAAGAAATCAAAAACAAAATCAGAATCATAAGATATGAAGGAACCAAAAAAAAAGACAAGCATGCTCAAATGAAGACACAATTTCATCAAGCATGTTAAACATTATCATCGCAATAGGTGAGGGTCTTTCGAAAAGACAGAAAGCCGTCACTCGCACAGTCTAGTGGAAATCTATAAAAAAAAAAAAAAAAAAAGGACAGAAAGATCACTAGGGAGATGAAGTTAGTAAAATTATCTTAAAATGGTTGGACCGCAATGCTGTGTAACGCCAAGGGAAATGCCAGTAGCCCGAATGTATCCGTTGGTAAAATAACAACGCCATCATTCAATCATCAGTCGTTTTGAGCGAAAACTCTCCCTTCTAGAGCGAGACTGCCAACAGCTAAGGGAGAAAGATCCGCATCTACCTCCTTGTTAGCATGGATCACCTTTAAAATGCTTGGGGGGGGGGGGGGGGGGGGGGTGGGGGGTGTAAAAAAAAAAATTATTTGAAAAAACAAAACCAAAACCGGGCAAACAGGTGAAAACGTAAACACGGAGATAAAAATAACATTGCG